GGGGGGCGGTTCCGTAGCGGGTCCCCTGTCCGCTCCCTCCCCCCCCATTACGCCGCTGTCCACCCTCCGCCTCTAGTCGGGCTACCCTCCCAGATAACCCTCCCACCGTGGCGCGTAGGTCCCCCATTTCGGATCGGATGGTCTCAACGGAGGATTGCAGTTTGGTCATATTTTTATTTGCTTCCTCGCGTACCTGGGTTACCCTTTCACCTACTTGGGTTATCATATCTCCCATGCCGGCCTGTAACCCGGCTACCCACCCCGGGGTCGTCTCGTTGGGTCTCTGTGGCTCTCTTTCCCGGCCCCTTACCGTCCTCGCGAGCTCCTGTCCCTCCTCCTCGTCTTCCGAGAGCAGGCTCGCAATGGCGCGCTCTCGTCCCAGCCCCCGGAGCTGCGCGCGTTCGCTGTGAATTCTTTCACACTTACGTGCGCGCTCGACAAGGGTGTTAAACGGAAGACGTGGGCAGCTCATGTCTGGCTGCCACCACGCCGTGCGAGACAGGTACCGCTGGATTTTCTCGGCGGCCAGTTCCTCAATAACATCAGTTGCGTACCCCGGGCGTGCGATCTTTGTTAACTCACGCACATCCTCGGCGTAATCACGTAGATCTTCGCCAGGTTGGCGCCGGCGCGCCTCTAAGGCCGATTTTGCTTCCTCCTCGTCACGCGTGCCAAAACGCTGATCGAGTCGGCGCATCAGCTCCTCTAGCTGTGTCTGTGCGCTCGCGGGTAACGCTTCTACAAAATCGGCTGCCCGCCCATCAAGATTCATATTAAGTTGACGTACTGCCTGCGCGTCCGTCCATCCATTAATTTCCTTGGCCCCTAAGAGATTGCGGGCGAATGCCTTCCACGAAGGGGCCCCCCGGCCGGTAAATATTAGTCTTATTTTAGCGTGAGGTAACGCGGGGGTCCGTACCGCTTCTGACACCAATTTGTGGGGGCCGTTGGCCCCCGGGGTCCCTCCCGCCTGCATCCCCTATTCCGTTTAAGTTACCCCACCTCCCTATTACTCGCTACGGTTTTGCCGGCATTCGAATGCGACGCCACTACGGTTACAGCCTCGCGCCGCGCTCCCACGCTGCGAGCATACGTGCGCACATCATCGTCAATCAAACGCCGTGCTCGCAGTATAGCCCTGTGCGGCACGTTACCAATGCGCATCCGTGTCCGACATGTAACGAACGTATGCACACACACACACGCCGCTCCGTGCACTCCAACTCCACACCAACTACGCAAGTTATGATCGCGCACCTGTATCACACACGGAGTGAACACACGCGACACCCACTCTTGCGCCTCTCTGCGCCGCGCTGGCCGCTCACGTTACAATCGCGCACCTGGGGTACGCCGATTACGCACGCCGCGAGCTTACGCACACACAGTACCACACGCGTTCCCACACGCAACCCGCGCGCTCAGCTCCGCGCAGCGCTCACTCACGTGGCGAACCACTGTGCACACAGCGCACCCACACGCTCACACTGCACGACAAGATCACGCGAGACCACGCTTCGCTATTAATGATTTATTATATGCCACCTGCGAATTGATGTTGAATCAGTGAGTCGACGAGGCTGGCCTATTCCACTAAACCTGTACCTATTCCCTATTTATCGGCTATGATTCTAATTCCCCTTCTTACTCACTGTTAAGTGTCCACGGCGGTCCGCTGATCCTTCTGTTAACCGCGTGCCTCGGTGCGTCGCACGGACGTCCGGGTCGCTGGCTCGAGCTGCGTCTGGTCGCCTGGCGCTGGAGTAAGAGAGCGATTTCCCCTCTGCGCTCCTCTATTTATCCTCCCTACCTCCCAAAGGGGATGCTGCGCTGAACAATGGGCTCGTGCACCCCAAGCCCGCGCACGGCAGTCCCCAGGCGCTGTTGATATGCTAATCAGTGTGCTGCGTGCAAGGCGTAAATCCTAATTACTCCCTTACCCTTCCTACCAATGGGGCTTGCGCGCTCAAGCGCAATTATCCCAACCCTCCATGACTATGCGCAACAGCCCCTGTGACCCCGCTATTCATGCTGTCCCGTGCCTCCCCTGCTTGCCCCGTCGACTCGTGGGGGTGTGTGTGGGGGGAAATGCGCCTCAACCGCGGTGGCCGAATGCCCCACGCCGCGACCACACCATATTAAGGCCGGCAGCAGCGCCGCGGTACCACGTAGCACGGGGGAGGTCATCCAATTCCCTGATCGCCGGAAACCGTGAGAATTAATCCCGATAAGGGTCTCTCGGATAAAAACCGGTCGATCAGGTAACCTTCCCTTCCAGCTCTATGGGGGGGGGGGGGGGATGCGTGCGGGTGTGTGCTTATGTGGGGCGGGTGATTGGGGGCAGTGCGGTGGGGGAAGCCGGGCGGCTCCCTGGCTCGGCAGAGCGGCCCCGTCGCTGTGGCACCACAGAATCACCTCGCGAGAGTGCACTTTCATCAGCCATGGTCAGTCTACTGCTGGACTAAAGCTTCCCCCACAAGCCACACAGCGCAATCCAACGAGTTCAAGTTCAAGTTCATGTATTAGGTGTAGCCCTGTGAGCCATTCGGCTCTTGAATCGGGTGCAACCACAACAAACAAAAAACTAAAACATTAACAAAAAACATCTAAAAGTGAATATGTGACTGAGTGCAAACAGAAAATCCAAGAAAAAACAGCAAAATATTGCAGAAAAAGCACCGTACACCAACGCTGTGTGCAAAAATCCCAGTGGGATGCAAGTCAAACAACAACAACCACAAGACAACTTAGATTAAGGCCATCAGTCGATCCGTCTCCTGAGTAGACCTCCTCTGACACGCGTCCCGTTCCTTGGCTTCCACTCCATTCAAATCGAGATCAAATCTAGATTCCATTCGTCTGCTTGACCATCGATTTCTTCAAGCCGTGGCGCGTCCTGATTTTACCATGATCAAACTATCAAAAGTACAGAAATCACCGTATTACAGAGATCACTGATGACGAACTTTCACCAATAATTGTTGTCATAGGTTCTGGGCTTTAAAAAAAGAAACATCCGGATAGAGTAACACACAAACTCACACTTTGCCCCATGATAGTGTGACGATTCATCCTCTGTGCGCATGTGACTTGCACGGGCAATGGGAGGGCGCTACGAGACACATTTACCCGCGCGGCCACGGGCTTGACTCGTTCCCGTGCGCTTACCGCAGGGCCAATCAGCGAGGTAAGGGGCCGTCCATAAATGACGTCACGCACCTAGGGGGTCAGATATTTGTGACGATGTGTGACGACGGGGGGGGGGGGGGGGGAGAAATGTGACCTCACATCAAAATGCGCAACTTTAAATAAATATAGACAACACGTTCTACTTAATTAAATAGACTTTTTAATAAATGTTTTATCCTACAACATCAGAGTGCAGCGCCACATTAAATACGCACTACAATGACAATAGTTTAAAGCGATTTTAAGCATGTTTTATTTTTGGGGGGGAGAGGGGGTGGCAGAGCTTTGTGACGTCATATTTGAGGGGGGGGGGTCTGACTTTTTGTGACGCCTTGTGACGAGGGGGGGGGGTCAAAATCGTCCAAAATCGCGTGACGTCATTTATGGACGGCCCCCAAGTGCTGTTAGCGAGCACCTATTAATATCGGGCACGGTACACGAGGAGGTGTAGGGGTGGCCAGCACCACGCCCGACCTCATTCGTCTCCCCAGCGGCGATGTTGACTACACACCGCAACACAAGGTGGGACAACCAGAACCATTGCTTCTTGCTGTGGTTGGTCCCACCTGGTGACGGGTACTTGTGTTGCGCCAGAAACGTCGTAATTTTTTTTTATACCCACGTGACTTTACCGAAAGAACCAAGGAGTATGAATCTCTGCAGTCACGACAACTTCTAATCTCGAGGGAAGTTGAGTTTTCAGGTCGAAACGGCGGACATCCGTTTCCGATAAGGTCTGAATTTGTCTGTAATAGGGTAGGGCACTGATAAGGGGTTGACAGGTTTGCAACAACAACTCATTCACACAATGCCTCACTTCGTTTACACAATCACCCACCCACCCACGTGCTCACCAGCACTGCAGGTCAACGCAGGTCTCTCTCTCTGCACGCTCCACTTTGTAATTTCTCTGCTACAGTCGTCTCTCTCTCACTCAAGCTCTGAACACAACGAAGTAGCTGTCAGCCCCTTATCAGTGCCGTCCATAAATGACGTCACGCGATTTTGGACGATTTTTGACCCCCCCCCCCCTTTCGTCATAAGCGTCACAAAAAGTCAGACCCCCCCCGGAAATATGACGTCACAAAGCCCTGCCCCCCCCCCCCAAAAAAAATATAAAACATGCTTCAAATCGTAGTGCGTATTTAATGTGGCGCTGCACTCTGATGTTGTAGAAGAAAACATTTATTAAAAAGTCTATTTAATTAAGTAGAACGTGTCGTCTATATTTATTTAAAGTTGCGCATTTTGATGTGACGTCACATTTCTCAAACCCCCGCCCCCCCTCGGCACACATCGTCACAAATGTCTGACCCCCCCCCTATGTGCGTGACGTCATTTATGGACGGTCCCTAAAGCGTATGGGTTGACAGCTATGAAACAATAATACCCTTGGTTCAACTCAACCAGCGAGTTAAGCCTTGCCCTATGACAACGTTGAAGGTGCCGGTTGTTGTTGTAAGTTTCGGGTTGTGCAAGCAAGTGGTCACAAAACAAAATAAATCTGGTCAATATTCACAAGTTGATTAAAATTTACCAGCGAATTTATCTGCAACAATAACGATTCCACATCTCATTGGGAATCGAGAGTCGTTAATCGTTACTGCAACAATAACGATTCAACATCTGATTGGGAATCGAGAGAGTCGTTAATCGTTACTGCAACAACAACGATTCCACATCTTCAGTAATTGGGAATCGAGAGAGTCGCTAATCGTTACTGCAACAACAACGATTCCACATCTGATTGGGAATCGAGAGAATCGTTAATTTTCACGAATCGCTTCGACATCCTTCGCGGAGACGTCACTTCCGGGAGCGCCACGTGTTCCGGGTTCAACGTTTCAGCTTCCAGTTCACTCAAAAGTCGAGCGGCGCCTCCGTCTCCATGGCGCACGGATCCCTCGTCCAGTACCTACAGCAGGTAGGGCCCTTGCTCAGTGCTTGCAACAGGCAGGGCCACTGGCTCGGTGCTTGCAACAGGCAGGGCCGCTTGTTCAGTACATGCAGCAGCTTAATCTAAATTGCCTTATGGTTGTTGTTGTTGGCTTGCACCACTGATTTTTGCACGCAGCGTTTTAATACTTTTTTATGTTTGCTGGTTTATTCCAGGATGTTTCTGTTGGGCGTCGTCGCTTTAAGATGTTCTGTGTTCATATTTTGTTTGTTGCGGTTGCACCCGACTCAAGAGGCGCATGGCTCACAGGGCTATACCAGATGACGCCTTATCTGGCGTCATCTGGTCCAACACCATGTGAGACTAGGCTCTAAGGAAAGCTGTCACGGGTGTGGACCAATCAACTTCAAGGACAGTGCATACATTATCAGAGTTATGTTTCTTGTTTGCATTATGACTGTAGGTATTGTGATCTATGCAAACATGACTCCTTGTAAAAAAGGTGTCAGTTTTGTTGCCAGATAAAAGGGTAAAAAACCAATTATCAAGGTAGGGTCTCTTCCTGCACGGCTCCAGTCCCACTCCAGAGCACTGCTTCTCAAACGTTGGTCCGCCAGGCCCTGGGGGAAGCGTTACCGTGCAACTATTGCAGACACAATATACTTGACAAGTCTCTCAAATCTTCACGGCACGTGTTGAGGGTTGACAGTGTGGTGTGTGTGTGTGTCCCCAGAGTCACTATAAATGTTGTGATCCACTGCTGGGCATGGCTGTGAGTTGGACCGTGAACCCGAGTCCCATGTTCCCACACAGATGTCTGATGGCCTCGACAACCGGGAAGGCGCCCTTTGTGCCGAGCTGGTGTCCCTGCGGAACTCCCACGTGGGCAACCCTCGTTTGCAGGTCAGTAAGGTTGCCGAGACATGAATGTTCACGATACGACACCCGAGTTCTACTCAGTTGGGATTATACACACAGCACCAATCATTACTCCCTACTGACAGATAAATACCCCGTCGCCCCGTCCCCATGTCACCCTTGCAAATGAGATATTTTCACAGAACAAAATAAGCGGACAATACACCTCCTTCCCATATTTGTCTGTCATGTGTCTTGGTGTGCTGCTGTCTGTAGGATTACGTTTTGTGTGTGTCCATCTGTCAGGTGTGGTGCTGGCCACCCACCCTCTCATGTGCCGTGCCGGCCTTCATAGGCGCTCGCTAACAGCACTTGCCCTAACACTCTAAGGCTATACGGGGGGTTCTTTGTATTTGTCTGTCAGGTGCAGAACCCGGAGCAGAAATGCCAGGAGTTACTGGAGCCACCTTACGATGAGATGCTGGCTGCTCACCTACGGTAAATGTTCATGCATGTGTCATCATCGTAAGCAACCATGATCAATACACTGGTGGATAAAGGCCTTCAAAATCTATCACTGTATCTCATGTTCCTGCGAAAGATGAATCCACTTTCATCTCCGAGGTGCAGTCCCCTCGTCTTTGGCTGCCACTCATTAGTCTTGACCATCAGGCCATCCATTCTCGTGACGTGTCATGCTCCAGTTGACTTTTATTTCAAAGTTAGCATGACATATCTCTAACCTGCTTATGTTCTCCAAGCCACGTATCCCTCTCTCTGTCTCTCACGTAATTCCAAGCATACGCCCGTCAATGCCTCTTTGCGGGCTTTTCAGTTTGTGTGTAATGTGCCTATTGCCGAAGAATGGTTGGTACTTCCCTGAAGGCGTGTGTCCGCTTCTCTACCCAGGTGCACGTACGCCGTGGGGAACCACGAATACGTGGAGGCCTACAAGTACCAAACGGTGGTCGTGCAATATCCTTCATCAAACTATTGTCCAGGAACACCGCTCCAAGACGGTCTGTCGCCACGGTTTATTGCATCAAGGGCTTAATTTCAACTGGGTCAGTCTGGGTGGGTGACCCGTAAAATATGTTGGCACCCGGCACACCACATTGAGTATACCTCTAAATATGGCTGTGGCTACTGGTCATGTGCGAATGTCCTGGTCTACCGGCGACCTGGTAATTATTCAGCCCTGATGGCACCTGTGTTACAGCGCAACTGACGACTTGGAGGCAAGTCTTGTTAGGGGCTCACGCCGAGTTTATTAAGGGCTTACGCCTAACTCGCACACCCTAGCCTATAACTCCCCAGGGGACAGGGTACTGGAAATCCTACAACCCTGGCTAACTCGGATCTCCTCCCTGCCGGTCAGGCGTAGTAGCCTCCCTTAGCCTCGTGTGAGGATCCCCTACCCCGAGTCCCAACTCCTACTCCCCGATCAACCCCGGTTACGTCCCGGGTCCCCCCTTAAATCCCCCCTGGGGGACATGACGTCGCCATCCCCCAAGGTCCGCCTGACGTCACGTCCTGCTACGTCACTCTCCGAGCACTAGCGTCACGTGACGTCACCCACTACTCCTCTACACCTGTACTCCCCATTATGAATCATGCATGTTAATTTAACCGAATAAACCACACGCACACATGCATTCATCCAGAAAGCTTAGAACTGCAATGTTTGTAGTTTTATTAACTTCCTCTGGAAATGGCCTTAATGAAGTCGTACATCTTTCATCAAAGCCTTCCAAGCCGACAAAGAAGAAAATTGGTATGCGCCACAACTGCACACTCAGCGCACACTCATGACCGTGGCTGCCATCCCAGGGATTCAACGCTATTTAAAATCCATTGAAGAGCCACTGTCGTGTGACGGATCCCGTGAATTATTGTTCTTATAGCGACTCCGCACAGCTCTGGCTGTAGCACATACAGGTGGTTCGTGGGTCCACCAGTTGTCTTGCAGCTTTCAAATAATATATTCTGCATGACCATGCTCATTATTTTGTCATATGTATCTTGCATCAATCTAGGACCCAATATCTTAAAGAGATGGTCCTTGCCTATAACATCTGGCAGTTCACCTACATAGGCTCAAGCAAGGCTGACCCCTAATAAGACTGTCAGAGCCAGTCAAGAGTTTACTTACACTGAATGTTGGTGAAATTCTGCACTCCCAGAAGGCTGTGAGGTGTGATTGGTGGAGAGACAGATATAGGCAGGAGATGTATTTTCTGCTTATCTGTTGAGTTTCTCAAAGTGGATAACCTTACTCCATCCTCCCATTGTCTCTGTTTGTCCAGGGCCCTGCCCATCATGAATTCGGTCACACTGGACCTCAGGATCTTTGCCAACAGCGTGAGTTTGACGTTGCACCCACTTGATGGGCGACGTAGTGACATTTTTCTCCTTAATGTCCTGTGTGCAGGAGGCAAGTCATGGTTCAACCCCCCTGTCAACTCAATGAGCTTTCACCATTCGGGATCACAGTTTAATTAAAAAAACCCTGTTGTCTCGTCTATTGTTTCCCATTTCATATTGTACAGTTGTATTCACTTAAGTGACCTAAATGTAGGTAGCATAATATTTACATTAATTCTAATCATTCATTCGGCTTGGTAAGTCAACAGTGGTTGTCCTGTGTGTAGTGACTGTGAATGTCACTGTGTGGTGCCGGGCTTACGAAGCCACAGTGAATAATGTGTTGGCATTATGTGTAGCCCGCTTACTGGGCGTAGTACCAGCCCTAGCGGGGCTTGGGTGAGCGCTGGTCAGCAGCGGAGGCACCGTGAGCAGTGTGCGGTGCAGGGGAGAGGGAGTGTCAGCCAGCCAGGGTACGCTTGGGGCATGATACGCTGGTTGACCTGCTGACACGTGACCGGATGATTTTGGAGGGGGGCCACTGGTGGACGGGGGCCGCTGGGTGGTCACGTGGTATAGAAGAGCTCTCGGGAGCCTTCGGGAAAGAGCTCGAGAGATCTAGAAGGTGGGCGGGGCGAGGGGCGGAGCCAGCCCAGGCCGATATAACGGGGACCCCGTGAGGGGCTCGGCGTTCTTCGGGTTGCTGGTGACGAAGATCCACGTCGGGTTGAAGAAGCCTCTAGCCACGCGGTCCTGGACCCAGCTCGTGGTCCGGGCCGGGATAGCGAACCGTGTCTAGTTCTGCCGTAGCGTGGCTGGATGGGCATTCAACACCCAAGTGTAGGTTGTGTAATGTTGAGTCGGTGTAATAAATAGTGTTGCTCCCAGGACAATGTCTGCGACTCAGTTGGACTCACTACATGTGGATAGACTCACCCCTGCCATGGGAATGTAGAATTATCACCACAGGCTCACGGCTTTAAACGAAAGCTGAGCACGGCCTCAATGCTCATTTGACTTAGGAATCGATTCACAAACACGTGATTCAATACACGTATCTTCAGCGTCGTAATCAGTTTTCACTGATGACTCCATTATTTTGTCAGCAGAGCGTAGTGCAGCAAAAAGCATTCTTGTACTTTAAACGAAAGCTGAGCACGGCCTCAATGCTCATTTGACTTAGGAATCGATTCACAAACACGTGATTCAATACACGTATCTTCAGCGTCGTAATCAGTTTTCACTGATGACTCCATTATTTTGTCAGCAGAGCGTAGTGCAGCAAAAAGCATTCTTGTACTGTCATGTGCCTAAATGTCTCTGCTAACCACCTTCAACCCACATTGCCCAGCCTGGTGGAGTATGGTCAAAACAACTCACATGACCTCTACAGCTTGGGGAAGCCTTCAACCAGCAGCGGATTAACAAAAGGGACTTGATGTGCGTATGCGTCAAACGTTGCGTGCCTTGGTATGCAACCGAGCTGTCGATGTTGAGTCCCGACAGGCGTCTGTACGTGTTGGGAACGTGCGCGTAGGCCGACCTGCAGCTGGCACGGAAAGGGCGGGGAAAATTGGGGGACACGCTGGAGAAGGCAGCCGACACCCTCATGAGCTGCTTCCGCGTCTGCGCAAGCGACAAGTGCGTCCGCCTCTCGCGCACGCACGCCCGGGCGGCAGAGTGTGCGCGCTTCTTGTGCGTCGTATTGCGTTCTGAGTTCTGAGTCTTGGATGCGCGCCACGAGGCTTGTGTGGGTGTGTGTGTGTGCAGTCGTGCAGGGATTGACGACTCCAAGAAGTGGGGGATGCTGTTCCTGGTCAACCAGCTGTTTAAGATCTATTTTAAGGTAAGACGGTATCTTGGGATATCATACAAACCTCCGGTTAAGCTTAAGTCCGAAATGGCATTGTGTCTTAGGTGTTGTCTGTCATGACTCGAGCAAAAGCTGGCTCATTGCTTCTCCATTATTGCAGCACGGTCCCTGTATAAGTTGGCGTTTAAGGATTGCCCCTTTGCGATTCGGTGAATTGTCACGATCCGGGAGTTAGGTTTCAATTAAAAAAAAACGTGTTATTCATTGTCATGGAAGCACCTTTAGTGGGCTGGAGAGGTTCACATGCACATTACATACAACACATACGAATATGAAATTAACACACTTTCGCACGTATGATTTAATTAATGTATCGCAGGAGAGTGCATAGTAAAAGATGACTTGATGAATCGCTACTTGCCGACTTCGAAGCGAAGCCTCTTTCTCCGCCCTGCCCTTAAGATCAACAAGCTGCACCTGTGCAAGCCGCTGATCCGCGCCATCGACAGCTCTCCGCTGCAAAGACGAATACACCAAGGCCCAGCGCGTCACCTTCAAGTACTACGTGGGCCGCAAGGCCATGTTCGACAGCGACTTCAAGCAAGGTGCTCCGCTTGCCTGAGCGTGAAGGGGTGGTGTGCCAGGTGCGCTCAGTGCACTGATCTGGGAAAGCTGTGATCCTGTGTCCATAAACCTGGCATCCACCTGTGATTACATTGGGTTCTCAAGTGGAGCCTGATCATCAATGAAGAAACAATTGCGTTAAATTTGGTTTGTCGGGATCACAGACCCGGACTAACTTGGCCGAAATGACGCCCTGGTTGCGTCTCAATAAGAAGGCCCCCCTGCCGTGTTGGCTAAAGAAAATAAACCATACAGTGTAACGTCGTGAGAATTTTTTATTGTTTTATATATATTCCCCCCCCCCCTTCTACGTGACTTTACCGAAAGAAACAAGAATATAATGTAACTGGTGTTGGCCAAACATCCCAATACTGAAACATTGCTTGCAAATTACTCAATTGGCATGGCAGCAACATCGCCTCCTTTTGCAAAACCTTGGCAAGACCCTCCTTAAAAAGAGTCTTGAGACTCGGTGAGGCTTTCCGAGATAAACAAAGCAAAAACATGTTAGAGAAACTGCTCCTTGCACAATGTAGCACGAGTCCCATAGAAGGCAGAGATGTTGGCTGCAACTCACACGTGATGCGGAGATGTGGAGTGACGTGCTGTGTCCTGTGCTGTGACCTTCAGCGGAAGAATATCTGAGCTTCGCTTTCAGCCACTGCCACCGTAGCAGTCAGAAGAACAAGCGCATGATCCTCATCTACCTGCTGCCTGTCAAGATGCTGCTGGTAATGAGAACATTTCTGCTTACACCGATTTCAGGAGCGGACTGACCAGTCGGGCTGCCAGGCACAGTGAGCATATGGGGCCCAGTGCCTCTTGTGGCGCAATTGTGCCCCACAGCAAGAAAGCCTAGGTTGGATTCCCAACTTGGGTACTTTTCTGCGGAGAATTTGTATGTTTTCCCTCTGTCCACATGGGTTTCCTATAGGTTCTTCAGTTTCCTCCCATAACTTAAAAAGACATACTCTATTGCCTAAACATCTTAATGCTGAAAAAATACCTGCAAATTCATCGTTTGGGATTACACACAGCAGGACCCTCCTGAAAAAAAGTATTGAGACTCGGTGAGGCGGCTTTACTGGGTAATCAATCATAGTAATAATAACATACTAACTTGTTTGCCTGTCCAATGATGGGTGTATATTGCAGTAAATCTGAAATATTAAAACTGTTCAGATAATGATTATTAATGAGGGGGAGGGGTTGCTCCATGTAGAGTGACGTCACCCGCTAATGGTTATTGGGGAGGGGTGCGGCATGTGGAGTGACGTCACCCCCCTCATGGTCATTGGGGAGGGGTGGGGCATGTGGAGTCACGTCACCCGCTCATGATTATTAATGAGGGGGGGGGGGGGCTCATATGGAGTGACGTAACGCGCGGGACACACACACACACACATTATTGGCTCATTATATTACTCATAATCCATTGTGACCAAAGCCAGTCACACGATACACGCGGGCTCCGCGATGATGTCGTCATGTGACCTCATCTTGTGACGTCATGTGCCGCATTGCGGTGCCTCATTGCCTGCGGCTTTAATGGGTCTTGGCTTCTGTCGGAGCGGCTGGCCGCGGTCGTCTTCGAACGGAGTAAACTCGACACGTTCAGCAGCAACATCATTGCGAGGAAAGTGGTTGCCGTGGTTTATCCTGCCGTGTGGCCGCCGGGCTGTGTGCTGTGCAGGGACACATGCCTACGTTGCGACTGCTCAAGAAGTACGACCTCATGCAGTTTGCAGACGTTACCAAGGCCGTCAGGTGAGCCCATGTTGCACGTGAGGTCACGGCAACACACTGAGGGGCGGCGTGGGGTGATCGAGTGGTGCACGCGCGCAAATGCGCACGTATGTCTGGGGAAGATTTTGTCCCAATATACTACTTTGTTTGCCTGTCTAATGATGGGTGTATATTGCAGTAAATTTGAAATATTAAATAGAAAAACTCGGTTCATGCATAACATACTCGGTTCATGCAGAACAAACGTAAACTAGGCTGTACAAACATATAGTTTAACTGTATAGAATGGGTTGTGAAGATGTAGAATGTGTCATCTATTTTTTATTTTATTATTCAAGTAACAATTGTTTTTGTGTTGGCATCATTGCGGTCCACGTGGGCACAGTCATGAGCGAGGAGCAGCTAATGAACAGGCGTCCACATAAACACGGGACAATTATTTATTTACTTCCGATAACCAGATGCTGGATGGCAGGGTGGCGCAGTGAATAATGCTTGTGCCTCAAAACAAGAAATTCCTGGGTTTGATTCCCAACTCTGATACAGTAAATCGAGCTGTGACGGTCCCACCTGATGACGGAGACTTGTGTTGCCTCCGAAACGTCGTGATTTATTATTTTATTTTTATTAATAATTTATATTTTATTATTTTTTTCCTACGTGACTTTACCGAGAAAACCTAAGAGTATGAATCTTTGCAGTCACGAAAGCTTCAAATCTAGAATTAATACCTGTGTGGAGTTTCTGTTCTCCCCCTGTTCTGCATGGGTCTCCTCTGGGTTTTTGAGTTTCCTTCCAAAATCCCAATGCTGACAAATGACTCAGTTGGACTGCAAATGTATGCATTGGTCGTGTTTATGGATGTACCGCGTGTCTGTCCCATGCCCTCATGACAGCGAGGGAAACCTTTTGCTGCTGAACGAGGCGCTGACTCGGCACGAAGCCTTCTTCATTCGCTGCGGAATCTTCCTCATCCTGGAGAAACTCAAGATCATCACCTACCGCAACTTGAGCAAGAAAGTGTGCGTGTCAGCACAGCATGGGTTGGCACATTCTGCAAAGTTTACAGCGGCGGTGCCCATGAATTGAGGGTGACCTCCTTGCACACGCGCCTGTGTGAACCGCAGGTACCAACTGCTGAGAACCCACCAGCTGCCGCTCGATGCCTTCCTGGTGGCGCTTCGGTTCATGAAGGTGGATGATGTGGACCTGGATGAGGTGCAATGCATCCTGGCCAACCTCATCTACAACGTGAGCTCCTTCCCCACCTTCTCCGTCCCCACCTTCTCCCTCCCCGTCTCTTCACTCCCACCCGCCCCCTCCTTTCTCGCACCTTGATTTAAGATGCCACTGATTGCAATGGGTTTAAAAACACACCAGCTGCCTTCCTCGTCCGGGATGAGTATAGTCTCTGTTCACATAGATTAAGTTGAACGTTTGTGCTTACGGATCTGTGCTTGTACATGCTGCGTGGTTGCAGGGCCACATCAAGGGCTACATCTCGCACCAGCACCAAAAGCTGGTGGTCAGCAAGCAGAACCCCTTCCCGGCGCTGTCCTCGCTCAGCTAACATCCTGTTCGCGCACCAGTGAGGACTGTGAGGGGGCCCATGACCAGCGGCAGTCTCGACGCATCAAGACAAGAGTCCGAGCCGTGATTCATGATGTCGATGCTGCCGGATGGTCAAGAGGATTTGATCCCGAGTCGACAGCACAACCACGAATGTGGAAATTGACGAGGCTGGGTCACAAAGCCCGTGGCATTGACATGGTCAGGGCCTGGTCAGTGTTGTTTTCCATCATCCTTGCAGACAGCTCTGGAGCGCACCCAGTACCCCAATGACAATAACTGGTTTAGTATTTTTTTATCCGAGTGTCAGTTTCCAACGAGAACTAATGAAGCCAACGTTATTATATTTTTTCAGATATTTTAAGTAGTCAAGAGCTACGTGTTCATGTCAGTTGGCATGCCAATATAAACCCCCCTTCGTCATTCCACTGCTGAATGAGCGCCTCGCAATGCCATGTTGGGTCACGGGTGTTATTTGAGCATACTTCACCATGCTGATCAGTCCAGGGTTTGTGACAGGGAGCTCAGGACGTTCTAATATCACTCGCTGCTGTTAGCCGGAGTGCAGTGTGATAACTCCTGCCCTACCCCTCATAGTTCAACTATTGTGGTTTAATAATGTTCAATGTTAACTTTCATTGCTTTACGTGTAGTCGCGGTTGATTGTTGGATTTTCAATAAATATCATGTTTTGGTCTTTGGTCTAAGGACTGCTACGTGCACGACACCACACACACACGACAGCCCACACGAGTGACACTACAACACAGCTGCCCCACTACCACCCTGCTCTCCTTGAGTTCTGAAGAGCCACTGTCCAAAAAGTCAGCCCATCATTGTAAAGTACAGTACTTTGTTACAAGGCAGTATGAGAAAACGAATGTTGAGATTGTGCTTTCACATCACTGCAGTTTCAACTGTATTGTTCATCAAAACATTTTGCTCAAGTCTTTTATTAGGTTGTGCGCTGCTTGTCCCAGTGTCGAATTATTCTCTGAATGCTCGATTTAAACTCGGCGGGCGGGCGGGCGGGCGGGAGGATGGGACGGGGGAAGATCCAGCACTTCGTGAAGGGGAGCACGCAGCTTGTGTGCCACGCTCAATCTGCCGAGGCGACGAGAAGGGTACAACACGGAGGCTTTCGCGGTCAATATCCAAAATAGAGGGTTTCATGGGTTAAATCGCGTAAATATGTGTCGTTAATTACAACTCATGATGCGAGTAGTAGTTACTGGCGAAACGTCGTACTCGAATTGCAAATGTTATGGGTTTGCTCTCCAACACCGGGGTTCTGAACTCGCAACGAATTGGCATGTTTGGTTTTCATGACAAACCTTACTAATTGGCTGTGGCGGGTTGAACGACACATTTATATTTACGCGAGACCCCCCCTCCCCCTCTATTCTGGAGTGTAAAAGGATATCTGTCAGAGGGCACAGGATTTACGCTTAGGTTCACGAACAGAGACGACTTAGTTGTACACCCGCGGCGCTCACGAAAGGCGCACGCAAGGCACCACAGAACTCGCAACGCGCGGGGAGACAGCGACGCATCTAACGCGGCCAACTCGACGTTTCGCCAATGTTATGAATTCGCCTTTTACTGAAACTGGGACGGACCACGTGCCCCCTCGACTGGGCAGACGACAGCGAAGCGGTTCACCGCGGAGAGGTCGCGAATTTCAAAAATCCTGCTTTGGGGAGCCGACTCCGCTCATCAACCCTCAGCGGTCAATGCATCACAAGCACCGCTTTGCGAGTAGGCGAACTTAATGGTCGTCCTACAGACGGATTCCGTCAGTTCCTATGATCACTGTTTCATTGCTTTATTTGGGTGATTTCGAAAAGTTTACTGGTTTGGCCATGTTTGTTTGTTGTAGTACGGAGTAAGACTGATGGCCTTAATCTAAGTTGTGGTTGTTGTTTGACTTGCATGCCACTGGCATGTTTGCACACAGCGTTGGTGTACGGTGTTTTTTTCTGCAATATTTTGCTGTCTTTTCTTGGAATTTCTGTTTGCACTTAGTCACATATTCACTTTAAGATGTTTTCTTGTTCATGTTTTTGTTTGTTGCGGTTGCACCCGATTCAAGAGCCTAATGGCTCACAGGGCTATACCTAATAAATGAATTCTAGATTTGAAGCTTTCGTGACTGCAAGGATTCATACTCTTAGTTCTTTCGGTAAAGAATCAAATCTGGCTGTGACGGTCCCACCTGATGACGGAGACCTGTGTTGCCTCCGAAACGTCGTGATTTTTATTATTTTATTTTTATTAATTTAATAAAAAATTTTACCTACGTGACTTTACCGAAAGAACTAAGACTAATAAATGAACTTGAACACCATAGGAACGGCGAGAACGTCCACCACCACCAGCAGCCGGTTCAGTCAACGGCCTCGATAACCACAGCCGGTCACCACTCCACCACGTGGCCCCTCCAACCGACACTGTCCATAAAAGCGCGAACTCTCGCGAGACTTCCGCGCAAGCTCGCGAGAGCGGTGACGTCACGGCTCCCGCCGAGCGGATCAGCCGCAGAGTCTCGCCGCGCGTCCATCGCGCGTCTTCGTGTGCCCAGGAGACCCCTCGCTTCGCGCTCCATCCGCTCAGCCGAGGGGGCCATGATCCGCAGCCGCAGGGAGGTGGAGCGATGCGTGTCCAGCCTGGAGCGGAGCGCGCACTCCCCGCGAGAGGTGGGGACTTGTGGGTTTGCGGCGGCGGCGCCGGCCTAGGCCTCAGGCCTCGACTAGTGCCGGGGTGGGGTGGGGGACGATGTGGAGGGGGGTAGAGGACCTGGTGAGGTGAAGGCGAGCGAGGGGATACGAAGGGGGGTACGAGGGGGGTGATGGAGGGGGGCGAGGGGACCCTGGAGCGCGGTGGGGAGACGCGGGGGCTCCGCGCCGCCTCACTTTAGGCCCCAGGCCTCGCACCATTCGAATTTGTAGCCCGCATTGGCCGCCGCGCACTCTGATTGGTCGAAACGAATTCCGGTCGGCCAATGGGGCGCGGGTGCGAGGCCATGCGCTGCTCGTGGAGTCCAATAGTGCGGCGCCTGTGCGCGCTAGGGAATGCAATCAGTGGTGCCGGGAGGGGGGCACGGGGAGACCCCGGGGTGTGATGCGGGGAGACCCCGGGGTGTGATACGGGGAGACCCTGGGGTGTGATACGGGGAGACCCTGGGGTGTGATACGGGGAGACCTGGGGTGTGATACGGGGAGACCCTGGGGTGTGATACGGGGAGACCCTGGGGTGTGATACGGGGAGACCCTGGGGTGTGATACGGGGAGACCCTGGGGTGTGATACGGGGAGACCCTGGGGTGTGATACGGGGAGACCCTGGGGTGTGATACGGGGAGACCCTGGGGTGTGATACGGGGAGACCCCTGGGGTGTGATACGGGGAGACCCGGGGTGTGACACGGGAGAGACCCCGGGTGTGACACGGGGAGACCCCGGGGTGTGACACGGGGAGACCCCGGGGTGTGACACGGGGAGACCCCGTGGTGTGATACGGGGAGACCCCGTGGTGTGATACGGGGAGACCCCGTGGTGTGATACGGGGAGACCCCGGGGTGTGATACGGGGAGACCCCGGGGTGTGATACGGGGAGACCCCGGGGTGTGATACGGGGAGACCCCGGGGTGTGATACGGGGAGACCCCGGGGTGTGATACGGGGAGACCCCGGGGTGTGATACGGGGAGACCCCGGGGTGTGATACGGGGAGACCCCGGGGTGTGATACGGGGAGACCCCGGGGTGTGACACGGGGAGACCCCGGGGTGTGACACGGGGAGACCCCGGGGTGTGACACGGGGAGACCCCGGGGTGTGACACGGGGAGACCCCGGGGTGTGACACGGGGAGACCCCGGGGTGTGACACGGGGAGACCCCGGGGTGTGACACGGGGAGACCCCGGGGTGTGACACGGGGAGACCCCGGGGTGTGACACGGGGAGACCCCGGGGTGTGACACGGGGAGACCCCGGGGTGTGACACGGGGAGACCCCGGGGTGTGACACGGGGAGACCCCGGGGTGTGACACGGGGAGACCCCGGGGTGTGACACGGGGAGACCCCGGGGTGTGACACGGGGAGACCCCGGGGTGTGACACGGGGAGACCCCGGGGTGTGACACGGGGAGACCCCGGGGTGTGACACGGGGAGACCCCGGGGTGTGACACGGGGAGACCCCGGGGTGTGACACGGGGAGACCCGGGGTGTGACACGGGGAGACCCCGGGGTGTGACACGGGGAGACCCCGGGGTGTGACACGGGGAGACCCCGGGGTGTGACACGGGGAGACCCCGGGGTGTGACACGGGGAGACCCGGGGTGTGACACGGGGAGACCCCGGGGTGTGACACGGGGAGACCCCGGGGTGTGACACGGGTAGACCCCGGGGGTGTGACACGGGGAGACCCCGGGGTGTGACACGGGGAGACCCCGGGGTGTGACACGGGGAGACCCCGGGGTGTGACACGGGGAGACCCCGGGGTGTGACACGGGAGACCCCGGGGTGTGACACGGGGAGACCCCGGGGTGTGACACGGGGAGACCCCGGGGTGTGACACGGGGAGACCCCGGGGTGTGACACGGGGAGACCCCGGGGTGTGACACGGGGAGACCCCGGGGTGTGACACGGGGAGACCCCGGGGTGTGACACGGGAGACCCCGGGGTGTGACACGGGGAGACCCGGGGTGTGACACGGGGAGACCCCGGGGTGTGACACGGGGAGACCCCGGGGTGTGACACGGGGAGACCCCGGGGTGTGACACGGGGAGACCCCGGGGTGTGACACGGGGAGACCCCGGGGTGTGACACGGGGAGACCCCGGGGTGTGACACGGGGAGACCCCGGGGTGTGACACGGGGAGACCCCGGGGTGTGACACGGGGAGACCCCGGGGTGTGACAACGGGGAGACCCCGGGGTGTGACACGGGGAGACCCCGGGGTGTGACACGGGGAGACCCCGGGGTGTGACACGGGGAGACCCCGGGGTGTGACACGGGGAGACCCCGGGGTGTGACACGGGGAGACCCCGGGGTGTGACACGGGGAGACCCCGGGGTGTGACACGGGGAGACCCCGGGGTGTGACACGGGGAGACCCCGGGGTGTGACACGGGGAGACCCCGGGGTGTGACACGGGGAGACCCCGGGGTGTGACACGGGGAGACCCCGGGGTGTGACACGGGGAGACCCCGGGGTGTGACACGGGGAGACCCCGGGGTGTGACACGGGGAGACCCCGGGTGTGACACGGGGAGACCCCGGGGTGTGACACGGGGAGACCCCGGGGTGTGACACGGGGAGACCCCGGGGTGTGACACGGGAGACCCCGGGGTGTGACACGGGGAGACCCCGGGGTGTGACACGGGAGACCCCGGGGTGTGACACGGGAGACCCCGGGGTGTGACACGGGGAGACCCCGGGTGTGACACGGGGAGACCCCGGGGTGTGACACGGGGAGACCCCGGGTGTGACACGGGGAGACCCCGGGGTGTGACACGGGGAGACCCCGGGGTGTGACACGGGGAGACCCGGGGTGTGTGACACGGGGAGACCCCGGGGTGTGACACGGGGAGACCCCGGGGTGTGACACGGGGAGACCCCGGGGTGTGACACGGGGAGACCCCGGGGTGTGACACGGGGAGACCCCGGGGTGTGACACGGGGAGACCCCGGGGTGTGACACGGGGAGACCCCGGGGTGTGACACGGGGGAGACCCCGGGGTGTGACACGGGGAGACCCCGGGGTGTGACACGGGGAGACCCCGGGGTTGTGACACGGGGAGACCCCGGGGTGTGACACGGGGAGACCCCGGGGTGTGACACGGGGGAGACCCCGGGGTGTGACACGGGGAGACCCCGGGGTGTGACACGGGAGACCCCGGGGTGTGACACGGGGAGACCCCGGGGTGTGACACGGGGAGACCCCGGGTGTGACACGGGGAGACCCCGGGTGTGAGACCCCGGGGTGTGACACGGGGAGACCCCGGGGTGTGACACGGGGAGACCCCGGGGTGTGACACGGGGAGACCCCGGGGTGTGACACGGGGAGACCCCGGGGTGTGACACGGGGAGACCCCGGGGTGTGACACGGGGAGACCCCGGGGTGTGACACGGGGAGACCCCGGGGTGTGACACGGGGAGACCCCGGGGTGTGACACGGGGAGACCCCGGGGTGTGACACGGGAGACCCCGGGGTGTGACACGGGGAGACCCCGGGGTGTGACACGGGGAGACCCCGGGGTGTGACACGGGGAGACCCCGGGGTGTGACACGGGGAGACCCCGGGGTGTGACACGGGGAGACCCCGGGGTGTGACACGGGAGACCCCGGGGTGTGACACGGGGAGACCCCGGGGTGTGACACGGGGAGACCCCGGGGTGTGACACGGGGAGACCCCGGGGTGTGACACGGGGAGACCCCGGGGTGTGACACGGGGAGACCCCGGGGTGTGACACGGGGAGACCCGGTGGTGCTGACACGGGAGACCCCGGGGTGGTGACACGGGGAGACCCGGGGTGTGCCACGGGGAGACCCCGGGGGTGTGACACGGGGGGAGACCCCCGGGGTGTGACACGGGGAGACCCCGGAGGTGTGACACGGGGAGACCCCGGGGTGGTGACCCGGGGGACCCCGGGGTGTGACACGGGGGAGACCCGGGGTGTGACACGGGGGAGACCCCGGGGTGTGACACGGGGAGACCCCGGGGTGTGACACGGGGAGACCCCGGGGTGTGACACGGGGAGACCCCGGGTGTGTGACACGGGGGAGACCCCGGGGTGTGCCACGGGGAGACCCCGGGGTGTGACACGGGGAGACCCCGGGGTGTGACACGGGGAGACCCCGGGGTGTGACACGGGGAGACCCCGGGGTGTGACACGGGGAGACCCCGGGGTGTGACACGCGGGGACCCCGGGGTGTGACACGGGGAGACCCCGGGGTGTGACAACGGGGAGACCCGGGGTGTGACACGGGGAGACCCCGGGGTGTGACACGGGGAGACCCCGGGGTTGTGACACGGGGAGACCCGGGGTGTGACACGGGGAGACCCCGGGGGTGTGACACGGGGAGACCCCGGGGTGTGACACGGGGAGACCCCGGGGTGTGACACGGGGAGACCCCGGGGTGTGACACGGGGAGACCCGGGGTGTGACACGGGGAGACCCCGGGGTGTGACACGGGGAGACCCCGGGGTGTGACACGGGGAGACCCCGGGGTGTGACACGGGGGAGACCCCGGGGTGTGACACGGGGAGACCCCGGGGTGTGACACGGGGAGACCCCGGGGTGTGACACGGGGAGACCCTGGGTTGACACGGAGATACTCTGGGTTGACACGGAGATACCCCGTATCACACCCCGGGAGACCCTGGGTTGACATGGAGAGACCCGGTGGCCGAAGGGGGAGACACGGGGAAACCTGGGGGGGGGGGGGGGGGGGGGGGGGGGTGGGGGGGACACGGGGAGACCCAGGTGCCGAGCGGGGGGGACAGGAAGACCCAGCGAGACCTTGGTTGACACGGAGAGACCCGGGGGCGGAATGGTGGGACATTGGGAGACGTGGAGGGGGGAATTACGGGGCGACCTGCGGAGAGGGTGGGACACGAGGAGACCTGGTGGGGGGGGGGGGGGGATTGGATGAGGTGGGGGGACGCGGGGAGGCCCAGAGAGAAAAACGGACAGAAAGGAGATCTGGCATCCATGGATAGACGAGAGGCCTGAGACGTGGGGACACGGGAAGGATGAATGAAATACTTAAGATATGGGAGCCACGAGAGACCTGGGGAATTTGAGGCATGGGAGACTGAGAAACGGTGGAAGCGGGAGATATGGAGACTAGGGAAAGATAGGAGGAGATGAGTGGCGTGTAATATATGTACACCTGGGTCTCGTGGACACCTGGCAGGCCGGAGAGCTACAGGAGAGAGGCTGACCAGAGAGACCTGGGGACCCATTGATACATGGGGTGCAGGTATAAGATATCGGGGACTCGAGATCTTAGACACCGAAGATTTAAGACAAGACTAGACACGGGAGACCTGAGTATTCTGTATACCTGAAATGGGAGGTTTGCAAAGAGGAACATATCTGGAACGGGAGAACTGGGAGACAACAGGGATACTGGAGATCCAGTTCATGGTCGATCTGTAATCCGGTTGTTACTGTGATTGAGTGTGTTTGAAATAGTCGCATTTCGTTGCTTTATCATCCAAACTATTGAGAGAAGTTGGTCAGTTGACGAAGTGTACCACTGACCTGTGAATTCTTTTTTCAGAAAAAGCTGAAGGGCCTCCTGTTTGGAAAGCTGTACTATGAAGCCAAGGACTTTGAGGTGGCCAGGAGGTGAGGAACCACTCGTGGGGGTTTGTTCACGTGACCTCTAACCGGGCGGGTCTGAGCTGTCGCTACCGCTGCTGTAACCGCAGCCTAACTGAGCAGAGTACGCGTGGTGTGTTCCACGGTCTGCTTTGCAGGCCCATTGTTGAGCATAGGTATACAGTGCAACATGTACAGCCCTTTTATTGATCAATTGCTGCGTGAAGGCTTCCCCATGCCGGGCGGGTCATGGGGACTATTTTCCCATATTTCACCATTGCTGGTCATTGGTGGGTTGGTGAAGGCGGGGGAGTAAGTGTGGAAGCATATTATAGTACAGTAGAACCTCGGAGATCGAACGCACCAGAACTCGAACAAATCGGTGTTCGAACGATATTTCCGAACATTTTTTGTTCCGGAAACCGAACGAAATTCGGAGGTCGATCGGGAAATCGCGACTTGAAAGGAGCTGTACGGCTGAGACGCGTATGGCCAGCGTGCATGACGCTTGCCCGGACAAAGGTTTTACCGTGTGAGAGGCTCGGTTAACACGTAGCTCTCACCCAGTGCAGACCCGCAAAACATCGTTCCTTAACTTTTTCGTTAATTTCCTTTATTTTAGTGTTTTTTGATGTTCATCCATACACAATGTCTCCTAAGAAGGTTAGTGGTAGTTATAAGCCAAAAAGGAAAGTTGTGAGAACCAGGATAGAATTAAGAAAAGAGATCATTGCAAGGCAGAGAGAAGTGTCCGTGTGACCGAGATTTCTAAACGGTATGGTATGTCGAAATCGACGATCTGCACGATACTGAAAGCCATCAACTCTCCTTAATACAGGTGAAGTTCAATGTTAATTTATTTAATTTATTCCATTTATTTATTATGTTTCTTGTTTTTTTGTATGATTTTATGCATGTAATTACTGTCAACTTCGTGTAAAATGCTTTATAATGAGATATTTCTTGTGTCTGGAACCAATTAATGTCATTTACATGAATTTTTATGGGGAAAATGTATTCGGTGTTTCGAACAAATCGGTGTTCGAATGGCCTTCTGGAACGAATTCAGTTCGATCTCCGGGGTACCACTGTACAAACGTTTATATTGCGGTCATCTGCTGCCTGAAAACGTAGCACTGCAATATCCGAAAACACCTGGTTTATATATTTTTGGTATTCTGCCTTGGTGGTTGCTGTTCCAAGCACTAACTATGCCAAGCCTCATCATGGGACCCCCTTTGACAGTAGCAAAATATGAGAATAGGTTTTCCCTTTTTTTTCTGGCAACAAAACAGCTGTGTTAAGATGTTTAAACACCAAACTGAAACCTTTTACAAGGAATCATGTCTGCATTAACCACAATACTTGTGATCAGAATGCAAAAAAAAACATGCTCTGACAGTATATGCATTGTCCTTAACTGATTGGTCCACACCAGAGACAGCTTTCTTTTGAGCCTAGTCTCAAACGGTGTTAGACCAGAGGACGCCAAAAGGCATGCTACGTACGAAGTAGTCTCCAACGGTGTTAGACCAGAGGACACCAAAAGGTATATTACGTACGTAGTACGCCTTTTGGCGTCCTCTGGTCTAACACCATTTGAGACTAGGCTAAAAAGAAAGCTGTCTCTGGTGTGGACCAATTAGTCTCAAAGACAATGCATATATTATCAGAGGACGATTTTTGCTTACATTCTGATCATAAGTATTGTGGTTAATGCAGGCATGATTCCTTGTAAAAGGTTTCACTTGGGTGTTTTAACATCTTAACACCTGTTTTGTTGCAAGAAAAAAGGGGAAAACCTATTCTCATATGCCAAGCCTGTTTAGCTTCCGAGATGTAGGGCTCATTCCGGAAAATGTTGTCAAAGACATTTGAATGCAACACGGGAATAAGTTGGTCATAATACAGTTCAGATGCACTACCTTCTGCTCATTGATTGCATAAAAAGTCACACCCATGATAATTATTCATGTGATAATAGGAATATAAAGCACATCTCCAGTGCACTATAAACGTAGCTAAGGCAGTATTATGGGTTGCCTCTAAATACATTCGCTTGGAATATGCGTGTGTTTACATAAACATTGCAGTGCTGCAACTCTTTCGTAATTGCTTGTCCTGGCACCATGCCAAGCACTGGCAACTGAGCTGACTGCAGCTGCTGCAAATGTCAAATATCCCAGACGTACGGCGCCAGAACCACATTTACAGTGGCAGCAGAGTGGCACTTTGTCCCAAAATAGAGTTGGCCTCAATTTGAATAATCCAGGGCACAGCATAAGGCATCTGTTATGCTGTGAGGGCTTGCCCCACGTTTTGGCTGTTTCATTGAAAATTGTATTTACATTGTGGTTTACATTCAGACTGAAATGTTTTATTTTCCTTTTCAGGCATGTGTCCGACTACTTAACCATCAACGAGAAAGATCCGAAAGCACACAAGTTCCTAGGGCAGATTTACGAAGCCGAGGGAGACAAAGTTAAAGCTGCCGGATGCTTCAAGGTAATTTGTTAGTAATTAGTACAGTAATGGGGGTTAATTATAGAATGGTCCTTTGCAGTAATTTGAATGCAATTATCCTCAACTGCTGTGAGGTAATTAATCTTGTCATGCCCCCCCCCCCCTTCCTAAGTTCGTGCTTTAATGATTTACAGCTAAAGCATAGCATTAGCGTCATTCGCCAGCGCTTTTGACCCTGTGCTGATATTACGACTGCGTTTTAAACGGTTTGTGTATTTCCACGAGTTGTGTTGTGGATGACGCGGTCTGCGGCGCTTGTGGTGCTGGCCCCCCCACCAACCCCCCCCCAACTGCGGGGGCACCGCCTCCGAGCGAGGTGCGCCGTGCTAACGAGGCGCTTGGCTTCCCGTCGCTCGGCACGCAGCGTTCACTGGAGCTGAACGGAGCCCAGAAGGAGCTGGTGCTGAAAGTGGCGGAGCTGCTGAGCGAAGGCCGCGCCCTACAGGATGGCAGCGCTAAGTACTGGGTGGAGCGCGCTGCAAAAGTCTTCCCCGGGAACCCCGCCGTGTTCTCGCTCAAGGTGCGGCCGGCCGTGACACCTTCACCACGGCACTTCACCTGCCAAGGGGGACTTGTGTTTCGCACAAGTTGTTGCACTGCAGAAACATTTGTAACAAAAAATATAATTCAACTTGCAAGTCCTGAACTGAATCTTTTTCAGACAGTTTCAGGAACGTTCTGCATTGGGCTGATTGATCAATTTCACAAATTAGTGTTTAGTATGTGGCATGAAACAAGAGTACCCCGGAGAAAACCCACGTTTGCAAGGACATAATTCTCAAACTTAGGAACAGATAGATTCAATAATCCATTTGTGTACTGCCACCTCCTGACCACCTCACCAATTCTCCACTTTTGGAACGCACCTCTGTCAAGATCCTTGTTAGGCCTGTGAAGGTGTCGTTGGATTGGCCGTCTGGCGAATGGGGTTGGCGTGTTGTTTGTCGGTGGTGCGGTGCTGGGCTTCCTGTGTGGGGGTGCCGCGGTGACTGTGGTCCTTTTGCAGGAGAAGCTGCTACGCATGGGCGGGGAGCCTGAGGAGCTGGAGGCGCTGGTGCGGGATGAGCTGCGCCTGCGGCCCCACGAGCCAGCGCTCAACGTCCACCTGACCCAACTGCTGCTCGACTCGGGACGGCACTCGCTAGTGCTGCAGCACGTGCGCTCCGTGGATGCGTCTCCCGGCCTGCGCCATGCCCTCACCTGGCAGCAATGCGTCGTCTCCTCGCTGCAGGTGCCAACATGTGGGACGTGTGGGTCATTCCACACTACATCGGTTAAGAAGATACCTTGACCAGACCCGATTTTAGACCAAATCCGTGTCCTTAAAACAGTGGCTTCAATCGTGTGTGGTTAATTATCATTTATGGATGCAGAGCTCGGCTTGTCAAAGAGTTGTGCAAGTGGGCCCGTTTCCTCGTGCAGGCTGTAATTGTGAGCAGCGACACGTCCGGTCCCGCTCATGAGTGGCGCCTGTTTGCCTCTGCGACCTGGCAGGGAGTTGTGCGAGGGAGGGCAGAGGAGCGTGAGGAGGTGAGGCTGCGGTTGCTACTTGCGCTGCATCACGTGGTGCGGCTGTCCCTGGGGACAAGAGACATCGCAGAGGCAGTCGACGCTCTCAGAAGGTGCGCCGAAAACGTGGGATTGCGTACACCTCGGTTACTGTGAATCTGTACAGAACAAATCAAGATGGCATTGTTGACAAAAGCCGTTGATGCCACCACAACTCGTCAACCCGTTCTACCCTCCGTCAGATCCACTGCGCTATAGAGATGTGACATCCAAGATTTTCCCTCGCAGTATCCCACCATCTATTCTTAGAACTTAAGCCTTGGTCGCCGAATTCTCAGAGACCACTCCAGTGTCTTTCCTGGCAATTGGAGCTACCCCATTCTGCACTGCACACATCCCATCCAGCACAGCCGTTATTTCCTGTCTACAATATTCACCTTTTCTTCCAGACTTCTAAATTGCTTATCCTGTCTTGCAACCAGTTCTGAGCGTCCAATTAAGAGACGTGTGCTAAGATGCCAACACCTTATTTTGAGCTGCTTTTGGATTCTGTCTGTCACATAGTCGCAGCACTTTTCCTTGAAAAATGTTTGTCCTACGCCGTGAAGTAGAGGCTCCTTTCAACTGAAAAGAAACAACGACGCATGATGTTGATGGTGAATCGTGTACAGCCGATAATTGTCAACCTCTAACAAAAATCTACGGGTGATGAATGTCAACGTATTATTTGTGTCTTTCGGTAAAGCCACGTAGATGGAAAAAAAGAATAAAAATATCACGACGTTTCGATCGCAATACAATCAATCGTCAGCAGGTGAAAAAAAATGTTCTTCCATTGATGACGATTGCTTGTGTTGCGATCGAAACATCGTGATATTTTTATTATTTTTTCTGTCCACGTGGCTTTACCGAAAGACCCAAATAATATGAATTCCTGCAGTCATGAAAACTTTAAGTCAAGATTGAAATGTCAACGTGCTAATTGATATGAGTCACTGGGTGGTGGAAGTTATAAGCTTACTCAAGCTTCGGATCCCTTCTGCAACATGGTTTTATTGGCGATTTGCAGTTTAGAAAAACTCCCGTTTGTACAATGGCTGGAACCATTTTTCATTTTATTAAAGGAGAGAGGAATGATTACCACGCTGGATTGGCGTGCCCGACAAGCCGGTTGTTTCAAGAACCTTTGCCGAGTCACCGCGAGCAACTGGGGCCCACGTGCCGTCGTGAATGCCGAAAGCGGTCTCTGTGGTCGCTTGAAGGAAGCTGCGACGTTGTCGCCCTCACTGTTGCCCGTCGGGCATCTCTATCCACAGGTTTGATGAGGAGCTCGGCACCGCCCTGGTGGAGGAGGGCGATTGGAGTCCCGTGCTGGCTGAGCTCAAGGGACAGCTGTACCTGCACGCTGGCACCCTGCTGCTGCAGATGGCACGGGACCGGCTGGCAAACTGGAGGGCAGTGGTGGACCAGGCTGCCCTGTGCTACATGCTGTCCTACCAGGCAAGTGCCACTTGTATCATGTGACGGGGTACAACGTGACACGGCATCAACTTGTGCAGTGTCTCAAAAGCTACCGCAACCCGAGACTCTTCACAAAGCTTTGCTTAAAACAGAGTAACAAAACATCGCGTTGTAAACCTTTTAAAGCTTCTATATTATTAATTATTATTTCAAGACAATCAGCTAACCTGAAAAACACTTCCATATTAATGAAACCAACTATATAAGACCTTAAGACTTAATGTAAAACCAAAATCTCGTCAAACTACGACATGGTTGTGCAGGTTGAATGAGGACTCGCGAAGTCGAGTGAGTCCTCAGGGATTTGAGTGTGTGGCTTTTAGGCCCGCGCTGCAGTGAGTTTGTGGCTTGGCTGAGACGCTGCGTGTTGCCGTGTGCTGCGGCAGGTTGACCGTATCGAGCTGAAGTCCAAAAGCAGGGTGGTGACTGGGCAGGACATGGACAGCCTCTCGTGCGATCGGCTGAGCCAGGCAGGTATGTGTAACCCGCTGGTTAAGCGTGGCGGTGATGGTGGTGATTGTGGTGAAATGAGCTTAATTATGATGTAAATAGTTTATTTCATGCTGACTCCGATGCTTTTAACTGTTGTAGCGTGTGTGCCAGAGTTATAAATGGCAACTCGGGCACACACGAATGGAACGTTCTTTTACTTGATGCCCTTAACTTCCACAGTGGCGCCGCGACGTGTACACGTGTGCGAGTTCAAGTACTATAGCAGTCTTATGCTCGGGTGCGCTTGTACATGCCACGCGCACACGTATGCATACGCCGCGCTTGTGTCCGTTTGCCCCACGCCCGCCCCGCAGGCCACATGCTGGTGACGCTGTGTGAGGGCAAGCCGGAGGACTACCTGGTCCAGGTGGCGGAGTCGCTGGCTGGCCCCGCTGGGCAGGATGCCCTCGTGAAGGCCGTGTACGCGGGCCAGCCGCCACCCTGCTCGCTGCTGGCGTCGGACGATATCCCCCAGCAGCTGCGCACGCATGTCCCCGACATGCACCGGCTGCTCGACTATGACACGGGTACTGCCGCTGATGGCCTTGGTCCCGTAGATTTGAAGTCTCGTGCTTAGAGCTCGAGACCAGGATAGAATCTTGTTTGCAAGAGTGAGCTGGGTCACCGAAGTGACAAATGGAAGAACAAATACATAAATAATCTGCGAATATTACAAAAACATACATTAACTTTCAATGATACATTCTCTGTAGTGCAAGTCGGCTTGGGCAGATCATTTTATGTTGATCATAGCACGATTACAATTAAGTTTGCAGAAAAATTGAACAGATAGAGAGTGTTATTATACTGATGTATAAACAGACGTGGATATATGTGAAATCCAATTGCAAGTGAATTTATGAAAACACATTGACAGTTTAGCATCCTATCGTGATTTAGAACTGAGGAGACATGTTTTGAAGCGATGGGATTTGAGGTGTTTCTTGAATAAACAGAACAAATGAGATCCGTGTTAGTTTTGAGGGTTTTGGTCCCAAATAAACACCTTGGATTAGGTAAGGGAGTTGTGTGTGTGTGTGCGTTGAATGTTAACTTGGCCCAGTAATCCTCCCTCCGAGTTGGAAGTGGGTGAAAAGTGATGACCGATGTTGGACCGGGAATCACCCTCCTTTCAAGCATTTTCTGGCATTCCGTGTCGCGCTCCCGGTGCCAGGTGCGGTGGCGGAGCATGGCGGGGACCTGCAGCAGCTGGTGTGGCTGTCCCTGATGTGGTACGACTCGTCCGACCCACGGCCCGACCACCTCAAGTGGCTGTCGCCGCTCTTCCCCAAGATGAGGCTGGAGACGGAGCGGCTGGAGTCGGACTCTGGGGAGACCACGGCTCTTTTGGATATGGAGGTGACGGTGGCGTTGCCGCTCGTCGTTTTGACGACGCGTCAGTTTGTTGATTTTTTTTTTTAATCGAGGCCAACGAGAGAGCGGCCGAGTGGTTCGGAGGTCCAGAGCGGTAAGCTGGCACTGCTGAGATTGGGTTTGGAAATGCGGGCAAGCCACCTGTGATTAAATTGGGTTAGCGAGTTGATCTTCCTCAGCCTGATCCCCAATGGCTGCACACAAAAACCCCATAATTTAATTTATTACTGCAATTTAATTGGACTGAAGTTCAGCTCCGAGAATTAAAATATTGTCACGACTACCGGAAGGTGAAATGTGTTCTCATTTGCAAGGAGGTTTGGAAAGTGCTGCCCCGCTACTGTTCGTGGACTCGGGGTCATTTGAAGGAATCTCCGAGGTAGTTCTGCGGGATCCACGCCCAAGTGCTTTTCTCTGACACGAAGGGTTACACCGCTCTACGAGAGAGGTGAATCGCCTGTGGGTGAATAGTTGTATGCCTAATTGTCACACAGGAAAGCGTGCCACCGCTAGGCTCGCTCTGTGCCGGCATTTGCTCGTGCAGTATTTGTAACTGTTAGATCCGCCAAGATTTTGGGCTGCGGTTCGCATACAACAACAGTGCCACAGCATTTGTTTGCTGTGCCCGGCAGGTGTTCTTGCTGGGCGTGACGTTTGCAGCGAACGCCCAGCTCGGGGAGAAGATAGAAAATCTGCGCCGAGCCGACGAGCCGCGACTGAGCCCACTGCCACTGTGTCGCCTTCTCATCAGCGATCGGCAGAGGCAGTGGTGGCAAGCGGTGCACAGCCTGCTCAACAGACAGGCGCAGTGAGTGGCCATGCACTCCTTCGTGCACTCTCCCGCTTGTGCGTGACGCTTTCCCACGGGGACACGTCACGCACGAGCGCTAGTTTGTCAAACATTTGTACAGCCCCAATGGCAATCCATTGCGAGAGTGTCATCTTTTACCATGCTTCACAGCGCTGGTCAGCGCCGGTGGGGAAGGCTGGGAGCGTAGATTTGGCAGTATAGAACAGCAGTGGATTTTGCTGCATTGCCCATTGCTAACAACTTTATTTGGATGTACATCTGGAATGATGTCCTGTTTTTCCATCATATATTCATAAAGGAAAAAAAAGTAGTCCAATAATTTAATACCGTATTTTCCCGCATATAGCCCGCATACGCATATAACCCGCAGACGCATATACCCCGCAAAAATAGCGTTTTGTGTAAAACAAATTTCAGATAGCCCGCACCTCCATATACCCCGCATGCATTCATATCTTTAACGTCGTTACCGCAGCTTAATTCCATCATTAATACGAAGTTTACATTTTTAATACATTCCATTATCAATTGTTAACATTATAATCATAGCGTGCACAAAGAAAACAAACTAACCGGAAACGAGTGAACTTTAAACAGTAAGTAACTAACAAAAGTAAATATCCAATAAATAAGTAACACATAACTGGTACATAAGTACAGTTTTAGCGCTGGTAGATTGCGCACTGCGCAGACAATAGCGGTACTACGGTAACGCCATTGCCTCACCCCCAACCCCAACCACCTCTCTCTCCCCCCAGCTCCCCCACCCCCCAACCCCCACCTCTCTCTCCCCCCAGCTGCCTCGCCCCCCAACCCTCACCTCTCTCTCTCCCCCCATCTCTCCCGTCGCTGATAAACAAAGTGCGCCCACTTCAAACATTGTCGTTTCATTGTACAAACAATTCCAATAATTTAAAACGTGATTCCACGTGCAATTTTAGTGTGAGTGGTTTATTCAGCAGTGCTTTAGTCAAAAGTAGTAAGTGTTGCATAGGGGATAGTCCTACCATGAAAACATTTAACGAGTTATGACATGTCACACGTGTAAAATATTTTTGGGATAGCCCGCACCTCCATATACCCCGCAGGGTCTTGTTTTGTTTGTAAGAAGTGGTACACCCCGCGGGTTATATGCGGGAAAATACGGTAATTATGAGCCATGATGTATTCGCTGCGTGATTATGGTCTCCCAGCCCATCACCATTGCTCACCCATTGACCAATCTTTCGCCCTGTCTCAGCGGTAGTGAAATAAAAATCAACGCAGTGTAATGATTACAGTAAAATATTTCGGCGACAATTGACAACTTTGAAAGAGCAAATTACTCAAAAGAAAATGGATACAAATGTTGATAGGGGCAGGGCATGGAAGTGCGGTCAAACAGTTTCAGTTTCATGTATTTTAGGTATAGCCCTGTGAGCCATTCGGCTCTTGAATCGGGTGCAACCGCAACAAACAAAAACATGAACAAGAAAACATCTTAAAGTGACTGCGCAAACAGAAAAATCTAGGAAAAAACTGCAAAGTCTTCCAGACACAACAGCACGGTGTTGCGACCATGACGGTGGTGGCGGTGTGTCTGTGTGCAGGCCGGGCACGCTGGCCAAGCTGAGGTTGAGGGTCCAGCAGGAGCTGCCGGTGCTGCGCGCACACGAGCGGCACGGGCTGCAGCCGGCGCTGCTCGTCCACTGGGCCGACACCCTCGTGCGCAAGGTGACGGCCGCACCACTGCAGCTTTTGCAGCCAAGAAAGGAACGAGCGAGGGAAATTATTTTGTACGCTTTCCAACGTGCGTTTGTACCCTGGACGTTTTTCATTGGCAAGGCGACGTTGCCTTCAGAGGTCGCACAACGGGGTGACGTCGCACGGTGCGTGACGTCGCAGGTCACGTGTTTTGACGTCATTGGGAGAGGAATGCGGGTATGCACTAGTAGCAAGCTGCCGTTGAGTACAAGCGCCTATTGGAAAGCGTTGCGTAATCCGTGCGTCTGCATGATGTTTCTTGTACTGGTTTGCGTCGTCTTGTAACGAAAGCGGTTGCTTTAAAGCCGCTCGCGCCGCGCACACGCGCATCGTCGCACCGCTTGCATGCAGGGCAGCGCGCAGAGGAGCAAGGCGGCCCGGCGCGACTACGTGGCGCGCGGCGCCTACTACTGGGAGAGGGTGCTCCCCTTGCTGCAGCTGGCGCGCAAGCACAAGGACATCCCCGAGCCCATCGAGCCGCTCTTCTGGCACTTCCACAGCCGTGACATCCAGGTATGCGCCGCGTCGTCCCCGTCGTCGCAGGCAACGCCATCCTCTCGCGGGAGTTGCTGTGGGGTTCGGGGACCGTGGTGAAATTTGTCGAGCGTTTCTTTTGGTCTTGTGGGCTCTGCCCTCCTGACGACCGTACTCGTGTGAACGTGTCGCTCGGCAGCCGCAAGAGGCTGACGCGTTCATCGCATCGGCAAAGCTGGCGCTCGGGACGCTGTCGCTTGTGCGAGAAGAATACGACGATGCGGTGATGAGGTTCGAGGCCGTGGGGACCCCGCTGGCCTTCTGGAACTGTGCCCTGGTACGCTGCCACACCCATTGGTCGCACGCTTGCCCCTTGTATTGAAATGGATGATGCTTATTTTGTAACCAGCTAAGAGCTCAGTAAATTTACACAATCTAACCCAAAAACCTGTATTATGGAGCTAAGAGCTCGTTGAGAGCAGTCCCATTTGCAACCTGGATTAACAATAGCACACGATAAATACCATGCATAAAAACAATGCTGGTGAATACGATTAGAAAACTAATACAATAGCATGATGATGCATGCATTCATTTGTATTTCAATGAGTAGAGACCCCCGTTGCTCTGCGCAAAAACAAGAACGGTAGTTTTCATAAGCTTCTCATAATCCTGTGCTCGGACCACTACAAGTAATCTGCTCTTTTAAGTAAGATAATTATTTTTTTTTAATATTCTCCTAGGATTAAAAATATTATGGAGAAAGAATTAGATTTCATAGAAGCACACATTAAATGTGAAAGCAATTTTAAATAAACAGTGTCAAATGTTGGGTGTGGCTATGATATGTCTTCTGAACTTCTTGCGCCGTTTCAATTCACTGATTATTTGCTCCACGGAAAATCCGATTTATCCAGCTTAGCCAGCTTGTTTCCACAGGGGAGGAGCCGTGTAAGCAAAGGGAGGGGGGCCCCAGAAGTTTGCAGTGGAGGGTCCCTGGGCGTGTAGGGCTTTACAGGTCAGGAGACCGACCTTGAATGCGATGTACCATCGTTTTTTTTACCTTTGTGAATACAGGGACGCCTACTTACGATAATTCGACTTAGGAACTTTCGGAGATACGAACAAACTTGTCTGTATTTCCAGTTTCCCGTTCAGATGGCAGTGGTGGCATCTACATCTGCAGAACATGAAGAACCAGTGGCATCTTCCTCTACAGGAGAATATACAACTTTTAAAGCCACTCCCTGTATTCAGTGTACATGCCGTACAACATGTTACCTGCAACTCTGATTTCAGGAGCAGGGAGTTAAGAACCTCTGAGCAACAAAATCCACCGCAACACCGTTGTGAATGATGTTGATGTGAATTATGTGACCAATGATGTTGTCTTGCTGCTCGGTGTAGCTTTTCCAGAGCCTGGCGGAGGACGCAGACCCCGGTGGAGAGGAGACGGATGGCCCGGAGGGAGAGGAGTGCCGGGCGCAGCTCCGAAAGGCCGAGGGATACCTGCTCAGGATCATGCGCATGCTGCCCGAGCACGACTGGGACGCCCCTGCGGAGGACGGCGAGGTGCCCGCACGCCACACGCCACACGACAAACAGCCTCGTGGCCAGAATGAATTGGTTAATACATTCCTTCGTCTGTCTCGTTTGCACAGTGTTCTCCATTAACCTCAGTGTATTGATCTAATTTGCGTATAATTGCACGAATTGTATGCAAAATAAATTCTTGCACGGTGCCGATACATGTATCGTCTTGAAGTCAAAAGTGATCTTAATTGATAAATGAATGCTTTGCTACATGTCTAGTCTTGAGCTGAGTGTGGTTGACTGCTTGGGTTGGAACCACTGGCAGAGATGAGGTTGTGGCAGTGTCATCTGGAGGGGAGCAGTGGCTGTCTGTGACTTGTGGGTCCCCACATGTTCTGCATATCCACGTGTGTGTGGGTATGGAGAGCAGTGGCGTAGTGGTTCGTGCACTGCACTAAAAACCCGGCGACCCGAGTTTGATTCCCGCTCACAGGCAACGTTGATGACTTATATCAGAGTTGGTCCTGATCCCTCCCCTCAGTCGACTCGGCTTTATAATTGAGTACCTGGTGCGGTGAGTAAATAGCAGCTGGGGAGATGAAGGCGGTCGGGCGTGGTGCTGAACATCCACCCCTCTTGTATGCCGTGCTGGCCTTCCTAGGTGTTGGCAAATGCCACTTACCCCAACAGTTTGTTAAAGGCTTTCGGGGGAAATTTGTCTTTGTGCGGCCGACACCACAGCAGGCCGGGGTGAGCGTGAGCTCCGTGCGCGATCTTCTGGATGCGCTGCGAGCACGGCTGGAGCAGTCCCGTGTCGAACTGAACGGAGACCTCACCAATGGTGGCGACCTCGGCAACAGCAGCGTCGCCGCCTCTATGCGGTCATCGGCCTCGCCCGCCAAGGCCACCACCCTCACCTCTCCACTCAAGAGCATTCTGGTAGGCACCACCCCCCACGCGTGCGATACGTTGCGCGGTCGGTGGCGAGACGGTGAGGTTTGGCGCTGAGTCGTCGTCGTGTGTGGCGTTGTCTGTGTGCAGGGCTCCCCGCGGACCTCCCCTCGTTGGGCCCAGCAGCAGACGCACCTCCTGGAGACACTGTGCCACCAAGTGCAGGGGTTGCAGGCGAGTGAGCCAAGTGCAGCCGTCACAGAGTCATAGTGGATTCCTGCTCAGATTATGATTTAGGTGATGCTCGTCTCCTGTTTACTACAGCTCCATAGAGCCAGTGGTGGAATTTCTACATTACTATGGTGGGGGGGGGGGGTCTCCATGGGACAACCATTGTTGACTTCCGCACAATGGCCTGCCTATGATCCATCCTGGGTTTAACCAGTCTGGATTGTGTGAGGCGTTCGCACATTCTTCAAGGTCTGGATACGGTCCCCATCATCCATTAGCTTCTCCGGCAGGTGAGGCTGCGTTGGCTGGGTCATGTAGCCTGCATGCCTAGCCACTGCATGCCTGCACAACTTCAGTTTGGCTGGATAGAGTAGTCTAAATTAGCACAGTACGGGTGAGAGGAAAGATGGACTGATGTAGTACGGAAGGATGTGGAGCTGATTGGACTTGCAGATTATTGCGACTTGAAAATAACTGGTACCAGCGGTGGCGATATTGGCATCTGTGTAGGAGGCTCATGAAGGACGCTATTGGGCAGTTGGAGGCAGTTGCCCTCCAGCAACAACGCTCAAAATGACGAGCAGAGTGCCGGGCGGCTAAAACGTAGCAAGTTGGCGCAGACGTTTATTGACCTTCCCCTGGCCCTCTGTTTAGCACGGTTGGCTTCGTACAGTGTGAAAGTAGTTCAGCATACAGACTTGCATAGGGAGCCACAGGTGGTCGATCTGCCAGTCAAGCCAAACAAGCGTCTGTCACGTGACCTCAAAGTGCACCTAGCTTTGCTAAAACGCCGTGGCAAATGTTGTTGCATGCGTATGCCAACGTGTGTGTGTGTGTGCTCGTTGACAGAATGTGATGCGCGGCCTGCAAATGGGGACGCCTGAGGGCGCGGGTGGCGTGCAGTCTCGCATGCACATGGTCATGGAGGGTGGCTACCCGGCTGAGACGCTCGCCGACTCGTATCAGGCGCCCGCCTCCTTCCAGCAGGGCGTGCCTCTCACGGGTACAGCTCATTAATCGCACACACCTCATCCAGCCTGACCCCAGCACCCGCAGTCTGGCATTGCCTTCACATGCAGCTTAGCGCCACATGTCTTGATATCCCACCTGGGTGTTTGAATGCCATATATTGCAAAGGGGTTTGTCCCTTAATACAAATCATCGGGCATAAGGGTGGCACAGTGGTAGGTGACAATGGTGCTTTACAACAAGAAGGACCTGGGTTTTATTCCCAACCTGGATTTTGTGTTCTTTCCCTCATGGGTTTCCTTGCTCGTGCAAGCGACTGGGTCAATTATGCTCGTGGTGGCAAATTCACTCATCGGTGTCTCCCATGCGCTGATAATATTCACTCAGCTGTGAGTGAAACCGCCACGTCTGAATGGGATGCACTGACGAGAAAAAGACAAAGGTCCCCCATATAGCCTTAACAGACTGTAGGAGCAAGTGCTGTTGGCAAGCACCGATGAAGGCGGGCACGACACACAACGGGTTAGGTGGCCAGCACCACGCTCGACCTCCTTCGTCTACCCAGTGGCGATGTTTACACACCGCACTATGTACTCATTTGAGGCTGAGTCCACTAAGGGGAGGCCCATGATCGACTCGGATAATAGTCACTGGCATTGGCCGTGGGCATGAATCGAACTCGGGTGGCCGGGTTCGTCCCGCAGCGCTACGCTACCACTCCCCCCGTTCACACGCACGCCTGCTTGCGTGTGTCTCTCCCCAGTGTCGACAGGAGGAACGTCGGCTTTTTACAACCAGTCTCCCGGCTACAACACACAGTACCTGCTACGGACCACCACGCCTGCCAAGGTACCCACCAGCTTTTTTTCTTCAACTTATTCGTGTGGTGTCAGAGTTGATTGGCAGCATCTGTGTGTTCGTGTTGAGGTTGGTGAGTAAGCCAGTGGACGGTTTCAGGAGAAGCTTTGTGGTGAATATCTCAAATGCTGCTTGCTGCCAGAGAAAGATGGAAGCGGACAGTGGCATAGCTGTGTGGTCCGTGCATTGAGACTGGTGACTGCATTCTGTGCTCTGGGATATTCTTTTAATTGTTCATCAGTGGAGGTGGAGCTAGCTATGTCTGCCATGCAGTCTGATGCAGTTCATTACAGGCCATTGTATCCTGGGGGGAGTGGGGGGGAGGTGCTTCATGTCGGGTTTGTAATTTTAAGTGCTCGGCAGGTGCATCGTAATTGTCTCATTGTCCCTGTGTTTGTTTCCCTGGCAGCACCCCAACATGTACAGCGGGATCCCGCGCCTCACACCGCAGCAACAGCAGCCGCCGCAGCAGCAGCCACAGCCCCCCCCGCACGTCTACTCGTACCAGCAGCCCCCTGCGAGCACGCCCCCCGCACCCTCCTCGGCCCCACGCATCTACCCCCAGGACGTGTTCAGTGGCTCTGGCTACCCGCACGGCTCTGCTTACGGCTACGACTCGGCAGTGTCCGGCAGCGTGCTGTCCCCCTATGGTAATCAGTTCTATGAGCCCCCAGCCACCAGCAACCCGGCGCTGCCCGAGCCAGGATTTTTCACCATGCCCCCGGCCAACCGCGTGCCGGACGCACCCAGAGCTGTGGCGAGCCCCAGTCTGCAGGGCCAGCCGCCCGGGCAGTTGATGCAGCAGCAGCAGCAGCAGCAGCCCGCCTTCCAGTTCAGCAACAATTTCCGGTCGGATGATGGCGATTATACGTTCTCTTCGCCGGTGGGAAGGCAGGGTCCGGCTGGTTCACTGACCACGGGTACGCCCATCAAGATGGAACAACTGCCACAAAACGCCTCGTCACACGGCAAGCCCTTTCCTCCCTCGTCCTCCCAGGCCGGGCCCCCTCCGAGTTTGTCTCAGGACACCGCTCCGTACTTCGATGTGAAAGCGCTGTCTGGGATGTCTTTCGCCGACCTCGCTGCACAGAGTTTGGACAAGGAAGTCGGGTTTGGCCAGACCACGGGCGGCACAACAAACACCTTTTCCTTCAAGGACCGGGGAAGGCCGCTCTTCCAGCAGTCCACTCCGGCAAGGGGGGATGATGGCAGCGACGGTGAGGTGGACAGCGTCCTTGGGGAGGAAGATGGGCCACACTTTGAGCCCGTTGTTCCTCTGCCGGACAAGGTGGAAGTGAAAACGGGAGAAGAGGACGAGGAGGAGCTGTACTGCAACCGCGCAAAACTATTCCGATTCGACGCCGACAGCAAAGAGTGGAAAGAGCGCGGAGTTGGCAATTTTAAGATTCTCTGTCACCACGTGTCAGGGAAGCTGCGGGTGCTGATGCGGCGTGAGCAGGTCCTGAAGATCTGTGCGAACCACTACATCACGGCCGAGATGACCCTGAACCGCAACGCCGGCTCCGACAAGTCCTGGGTTTGGCACGCACTCGATTTTGCCGACGAAGTACCAAGGCACGAGCAGCTCGCGATCAAGTTTAAAACGGCGGAGGAGGCGGTCGTTTTTAAAACCAAATTTGAGGAGGCACAGCAGCTGCTGAAAAATGTTGTGAGTGACGGTGACGAAGGCGATAAACCTCTGGCTCTCGTGAAAGGCCCTTCTAAACAAAGCTCTTCTAAATCAGCTCGAGCCGGAAGTCAAGCTCCTGTCTTCAAGATGATCCCGGTGGGGTTCGGCGCGAAGTTTGAGAAAAAGGAGGGCGAGTGGGACTGCTCGGTGTGCGTGGTGAGGAACAAGCCCGATGCTGATGCGTGCATCGCCTGCCTCAGCGCAAAGCCTGGAGGAGGGGACAGGCCGGGGCAGAAGCCTGCAGCGTTTGCACCTTCTGGCTCTGGGAGCAGCGCCTCCTTTCCCGACTTCAAATTCAGCACTATCTCCGCAAGAAACGCTGTCGAGTGTCCTGGGTCTTTGGCACTTGGCTCTGCTCCCGATTTTCGATTTGCTTCATCAAGCCTGGCCTTTCAAGTCCACTCAAGATAACAAAACACCTGCCGTGGCGTCGCCTGCAGTTTCCGGCAAGGGGTTCGGTGCACAGTTCGCAAAGAAAGAAGGACAGTGGGATTGTGAGATCTGTGTCGTTCGGAATGACAGCAGCGCCACTGTCGTGTGTTGCCTGTCAGACCCCCAATCCCGGAGCCCCTCCAGAGAGCAATACGTTCACCGAAGGCCTCCCGTCGCTCACCGGGGTGACGGCTTTTCAATTTGGTTTACCGACAGAGAGCGACAAGCAAGGTTCCGGCTTTATGCAAGCAGCGACCAGCTTTGCTTTTGGGATGGGCTCCGATGCAGCCACCGGATTCAGCTTTGGTATCGCAACTGGAAACAGCGCTGCCAGCAGCACGGCCAAGACCATTCAGCCAGGGTCATTTAGTTTTACCCAGGCCTCCACAACCACTCCCTCTTCGGTGGAGAGCTGCCACCAAGCTCCTGCTTTCCCGAAGCTGCTAGGATTTGGTTCCCAGTTTTCCAAGAAAGAGGGCGAGTGGGACTGTGAAACATGCGCAGTTCGTAACAAACCTGAGCTTGCCACGTGCGCTGCCTGCCAGACGAGAAAACCGGACGCCACCACAAGTATTCCACGTTTGGCAGAGAGCAGCCAAGCCTCTGCCGTCAGGAACCTGACAGGATTTGGTTCGCAGTTTTCCAAGAAAGAGGGCGAGTGGGACTGTGAAACTTGCGCAGTTCGTAACAAACCTGAGCTTGCCGCGTGCGCTGCCTGCCAGACGAGAAAACCGGACGCCACCACAAGTATTCCACGTGTGGCAGATAGCAGCCAAGCCCCTGCCTTTGGGAACCTGACGGGATTTGGTTCGCAGTTTTCCAAGAAAGAGGGCGAGTGGGACTGTGATACTTGCGCAGTTCGTAACAAGCCTCACCTTGCCGCGTGCGCTGCCTGCCAGACGAGAAAACCGGACGCCACCACAAGTATTCCACGTGTGGCAGATAGCAGCCAAGCCCCTGCCTTTGGGAACCTGACGGGATTTGGTTTGCAGTTTTCCAAGAAAGAGGGCGAGTGGGACTGTGATACTTGCGCAGTTCGTAACAAGCCTCACCTTGCCGCGTGCGCTGCCTGCCAGACGAGAAAACCGGACGCCACCACAAGTATTCCACGTGTGGCAGAGAGCAGCCAAGCCCCTGCCGTCAGGAACCTGACGGGATTTGGTTCTCAGTTTTCCAAGAAAGAGGGCGAGTGGGACTGTGACACTTGCGCAGTTCGTAACAAGCCTGAGCTTGCCGCGTGCGCTGCCTGCCAGACGAGAAAACCAGGCACTCAACCAACAGAGAAACCTCCAGCACCTTTAACCGGGTTCGGACAACCCAGCTCCGGGTTTGGATCGTCAATGTCTGGTTTCACGTTCGGCACCTTGACTGCCAAGTCTGATGAATCGGGCTTCAGCTTTGGTTCGTTGGCTCCTGTGGCTGGCCAGGCGAGCGCTTTTAAATTTGCCACGCAGGAGGGGAAAGAGAGGAAAGGGCCTTGCCAACCAGGGTCCGCATCGCTCCTGCTCAAGATTCTTGCAGAAGATCACGAGAGAGCGGAGGTTCCCAACTCAAGTGGCCCTGTCGGAGGGCAAGGCTTCTCTGGTGCCATTCTTTCAGATTTTAAGCCGATGAGCGCGGACGGATTCCAGGGCTTTTCCGGCACTTCTTTTGCTGATCTGGCGACGGCCCAGCCCCTGGAGTTTGGAAAGAATCAGTCGAGTTTTTCCAACTTTCCCAGCATTGGGAAGGCGCTGTTTGGCGTGACTGCCGATGCCGATACGTCAGGACAGGAGGACTCTAACGAAATGTACAAGACGGAGGAAGACGACGAGATTCATTTTGAGCCCGTGGTGCAAATGCCCGACAAGGTGGACCTCGTCACAGGAGAGGAGGAGGAGGAAGTGTGCTACTCTCAGCGAGCCAAGCTGTTTCGCTTCGACACGACCGTGTCTCAGTGGAAAGAGAGGGGCGTTGGAGACATTAAAATCCTGCGGAACAAGCAGACGGGCAGAACTCGCATACTGATGCGACGCGAGCAGGTGCTGAAGGTGTGCGCCAACCACTGCATCACCACTTCCATGAGCCTCAATCCCATGAAGGGCTCCGACCGCGCTTGGGTGTGGGTGGCCAACGATTTCTCGGAGGGGGAGCCCAAGGTCGAGCAGCTCGCCGTAAAGTTCAAGACTCCTGACGTCGGCGTCGAGTTCAAGGCGAAGTTCGAGGAGTGTCAGCGGGGCCTGTTGGACATGCCTCTGCAGACACCGCACAAGCTTCTGCAGACGGGCAAGGCCGCGGAACTGATCCAGAAAGCGGAGAAGATGAAGTTTGAGCTCAAGGGCTTCAAGGAGCAGTTCTCCGCCTTGGACAACAAATCCAAGCAGGCGGCAAGCGACGGCCACGCCGTGGTGACGTCCACCCCGACCGGGGGCACGCCAGCGGCCCTGCGGCCGGGCTCTCTGTCGGAGTGCGTTGTCCCCACGCTCGAGTGGGACGACTATGACCTGCGCGAGGGAGCATCCACTTGCGACACCTCTGCGGGCACCTCCCTGCTCCGATCGCCGCCACCGCCGCAGGCGCCCGACAAACACGACCACTCCGCGTCGGACAAGCTGCCCTTCCGCTTCGGGGAGACGGCCGCCGGCTTCAACTTCAGCTTCCAGCCCATCGTGAGCCCCGGCAAGTCGCCGGGGGCCCACCAGCACCGGAACTCCACCAACGAGGAGAACGAGGAAGAGGAGGAGGAGAGCAAGGAAGAGGATAACCTGCACTTCGAGCCCATCGTGCCCTTGCCCGCGCTGATAGACGTGCGCACGGGAGAGGAGGAGGAGCAGGTGAGGGCACACAGGACATTCCTTAATTCTCGTGTGGCTCTTGTGTGGCTCTCGTGCTGCCGAGCCGGCACCGCTAACGATTAAACGAAGTGCTGGTCTCAATCCGGTCACCAATGAATGCGCGCAAAAAGATCCATCGTTAAAATATGGTTCTGCAGAAGTTAATTGTGCTAAAAAATGTGTATGTCGGTTTATCCTCGCGTGTTATATATTACTCTGACGTGCAGAGTGGGTGGAAAAGTGCCACCCCCTACTGTTTGTGGACCAGGGGTCACTTTTAAGAGGGTCAGTGGTAGCTCTGTGACATACACTTCCATAGGCTGCTCTCAACACAAACGAGTTGCACTTCTCTGAAATTCGGCTGCGTATTTCAACTCAGTGACCACACGATGCCGACAACGCGATCGGAATTAATTTGTGAGCAGTGATAACAAATCCGTATGTAAGAACGTCGCGTTGGCTTCGCTTTGCATTGGTCGTCATCGTCGCTCGGAGCTACTTGGGACTAGTCTCGGCCGCCCGATCTCTAACGTTCGACCGTCGGTGCCCGCCTCCCCAGGAGGTCTTTGTCCACCGGGCCAAGTTGTACCGCTACGACCGCGAGGCGGCGCAGTGGAAGGAGCGTGGGGTGGGCGATGTGAAGCTGCTGCAGCGGCTGGAGGACGGTCGCGGGCGGCTGCTCATGCGGCGCGAGCAGGTGCTCAAGATCTGCGCCAACCACTGGCTCACGGCCGACACGCGGCTCGAGCCCATGCGCGGCTCCGACAGGTACGGCCGCTGACTTGTCGTCATCTGCACCTCGTCCGCACGGCTGTCGCCGCCCACGCCTCATCCACACATTGTTCCCACAAGCTCTCGCCAGCGTGTGTAGTGGTGTGTGCAGTGGTGGTTATGGGGTAGCAGTAATATGGCCGTCTGGAGCGGCTGTGCTACTAACCCGGCGACCAGCACCAATCACAATTAATTGAACCGGTCCTGGGCCTCCCCTAGATGGACTTGGCCTCAAATTAGTACCTGGTGTGTTGTGGATAACATCGCCAGCACAACCCTCAGGCGGCTGGGTGTGGTGCTGGCCATTTACCCCCTCGTGCACCATGCCAGCCTTCATAGGCCCTCGCCAACATCAATTGCCCCAACAGTCTGTTCGGGCAATACGGGCGGTAGTGTGGTGGGGGGGGGGGTCTTTGTCGTATAGGTAGTTCCGTTGTGAGTACTCGTGCGGGTGCGCGTTCTGCAGGGCGTGGGTGTGGAACGCCCTGGACTCGTCGGACGGCGAGCCGCGGATGGAGCACCTGGCGCTGAGATTCAAGCAGCTGGAGACGGCCGTGGTGTTCCGCCAGGCGGTGCTGGACATACAGGAGGCGCAGGAGACGAGGCAGCTTGTCCCGCCGGTGCAAGTTTGCGCCGCCGACCCCCACGCGCGTGCTCTCCGTCTCCGAGTCGGCGGAACCCGACAAGGGAACAGGGCCCGCCGAGGACAACGAGGGGGACGCCATCACCGAGGTCGATGAGCCGTCGTCGCCACCCCGCCCGGAAATGGGCGGCGGCTCGGAGTCGACGCCCAGCCCGGCCAAGTCGGTGATCTCTCCCGCCAAGTTCTCGTTCGGCTTGGAAGCGCTGCAGAGCCTGTTTACGTCCGACAAGCCAGCCGGTGGTGACGCAGGAAAACCCATCGCTGGGTTTGACTTCAGCACCAATAAACCAGGGCCTACTCTGGCCACGAAATTCACTTTTGGCTCCTCCGGCATGGCCAACGACGCACCTGGTAGTTCGCCTTTCAGTTTCCTGAATTCTGCAGGTAAGGCGACTTTCAGCTTCGAGCCTCAGCGTTCGTCGAAGGAGCCGACCGCAGCGTCAAGTTTTGACTTCACGGCTTCACCGTTTTCCTTCGCACCTCCCGGCGGCGGCGACGGTAGCGATGCGGGGAGCGATGGCGCTCAGTCCTCGCTGGCTACCAAGATTGTCAGCAAAGGCCTCCGAGGGGCCTCCCCGACCACCGCGACCGGCAGTGGCAGCTGCTTTGCGTTTCACCTCCCACAGCAAGGTAACTGGCTCGCGGATTTCGGAATGCTCGTTGAAATGCACTGGGTGTTCGCGCTTGCGTGCTTCGTGCTCGTTCGCGTCATGCGCCGCGTCAAGCCGTGACGCCGTGTCGGAGCCCCCGCTGGTCCCCGCCGTGCGTCGTTGGAGTATGCGGCTGCTACTTTGTTAGCAGGAGACTTGGACAGATGTGTAAAGCAAGTGTCTGTAGTTTTCATTGTCACCTGGGGAAAGTATAGGCACGTGCCTATCATTTCACCTCAGCTTGCGTAATTGGGCGACCTATACATTTTGATTGTTTACAGCCATTTGATGTCTATGCATACAAACATAAATTATGCAAAACGCAGGGTGAAAATTTCAGGCAACGTTCAACTGCTGTGTTGTTTACAGGGATGCTGTTTTCTAGGTACTGTTTACATGGGTGCTGTTTACAAGTGTGGTGTTTATTTACATGGGCAGTGTTTACTCGCGTTTACAAGCTTAGCCTTGTGTGTGGGGCAATGAGATCGAATTCATGCTCGTTGTGCTCGCCCTGCCATACTGGCACAGGGGAGCGTTTCACTCGGGCGTGTTTTCATCATCCAGTGGTCGAAAGTCGTGAGGTGCGCATCCTACTCGGCACCTCTCCTCCGACCTCGCATCCAGAGACTCCCACAGCCGTGCGCCTCCCTGAGCCTTGGTTGCTTGGGGCGGTAGACTCCTGCAGAGTGGAACCCCAGGTGTATGGTCGGGGTTCAAGTTTATTTTGTTTAACCAAGTGAGAACTCAAGAGACCAGGATGAGTTTCCTTTGCAAGAGTCGCCTGGGTGGCAAAAAATCAGAAGCCAAATAAATAGAATGAAGTGCAGTGACATTTAGACTGTTTCAAAAATGTAAATCAATGTTAAATAGAAAAACTCCCCTGTTTTAATGACCATTATAAAATTACAATTAAGTTACAGGAACATTAAACAGTTACAGGATTACTTTTGCACTAATATGTAAACAAATAAGGATATACGAGTCCAATGCAATTGAAAGTGAAATTATAAACAATCAACAGTTTTGCATCAAATTTTAATTTGATATCAGAGAGTAACCAAGGACACGTTTTTAGCGATTTTTTTTTTTAAGCAATGAAATTCCAGATGTTTGGGCCATGAACAAATTTGAGGGGGTGCAGTGTCGTTCACCTGAAGGGCTCTGCCCTCTCATGCCACACAAACCTCCTTGTTTTTGTTTTTTCACACGCACACTGACGGTTGGCCGCAACTCCCCTTCTCCATGTGTAGGTGTTGACTTTAGCCTTTTCAAAGCTAATCCTGCGGCCTTCTGGACCACGCCGTTTCCCCTGGCTAGCGCTGCAGGTAGAGTGGTTGCGCCCACACTGCATGGCGTGCCCTCTAACAGCAACGTGTGCCACCACCACGCGGCTTGCCTGCTGGTTTAACCTACGGCCTCTGGCCCCCTTTCTCTGCGAGGAACTAAAATTTCACTGCAGTTTCTGCGCTAACAGCTGCCCTTCTTCCCGCCAGACGCATGATTGCATGCCCTCTATAATTTTGGGGATTTTTGGCTTTGGTTTTTCACATGTGTCCGATTTGTAAAATCCTCACGTTTGCATCACCCTTGAAGTTCACATCTCTCTTAGTTTAATGCCCGGCCCTCCGGGGGTCAACAGGGTAGAGGTGCAAGAGGAGGCTTCCGTTTTGTTAGTTGGGCCGTGTCAGCCCAGGGACGGCACCAGGACTCGGGCCTATGAGCCCCCAAACCACCCGTGAGCCATGAGGCTTAATGGGCTCAGCCCCCACTCCCCTTTACCTCGACTTCCACGACCAAATGTTGTATGCCGAGGGAACGATTTTAACAAAATTATTTTTAACAGTGTTTACTATACATATTGGTTATACCTTCAACTGAAAACTAAATGTTTGCTGTGTATCTAACCACTAAAATGGCCAGAGAGTTCAACTTGGCAGGGTCAATTGCAGTGCAGGTGCATCTCGCTTCCCCGTTGACTCTGTGACATCGTGACTGGTTCTGAGTTCCCCGTGTCCGGGATCGGTTCGGCCATATCAGGCTGTGAGAACCGAGCCCAAATTGAGCTGGCGCACAGCTGCCACTGGCCATGGAAGCGAGGCACCGGAAATTTCACCGGTGCCATGGCTCCACGCCTCCGTCCAGCCGCCAGGGGTCACACCACGGTAGCGCGGCGACCGTCGTTCGGTGCCGGCAACGGGGAGTGCTGGCGAAGGGGCCGAGCCTGAGAGACGCTGCACCGGCTGCACGGGCTGCACCGGCCGCTCCGGCTGAGAGAAAACGTGGGCGTTTTGTGTGTGCGACACACTAACACCGCCGCCGCAGGACGAAGCGTGAAGCGCACAGCACCTAACCCCCTCCCCACATCCGCCGCCGCCTCCCGCCATGTTTAACTCGGCAAGAAGTGTTTGTGAACCAGCAGCGTGCGCGCTTTCACGAGGGCTGCGTTTGCGGTGCGAGCGACTGCCCCCTCGCACACGGGCCGCGAGCGGTGTCCGCTTGCACCCTCCGCGCGCTGGTTGGAGTCGCCGCTCCGGATTATTAACTCGGGGGGTTGGGGGGGGCGAAATCACAATTTTGTATAGGCCTGCATAGTCAGTGGGTCAGTGGCCATGTAACCTGTTTCTGAGAGTCTGTACAACTTGTGGTGATTGCATCGCTTCAGAAAATAAACGAGATGCTTTTTGGAAATTGTGGCGTACAATTGAGCATTCCCCGGGACAGCGGCTGTAGCGAACTAGTGTGCGGGATGTGCAGCGCAGATGCAATGAGGTTATATCTTGAATGTGTGAATTTGCACAAATTTTAACTCCAATTTGGTGTGTACATAGAATGTGTGTGTTGTACATCGCGTAGCTGAAGGCAGCAAAGTATTAAATGTGGATGTTATGTAGCATCTAAAGACCACTGTATCTGAAAATGCCATAAACAAGAGGAGGACATGTGTGTCATGGGGGGGGGGAACCACTGGGAATAGGGAGATATGTTTAATGTTTAAGACTTCATAGGTATGAGACATGGCACAGCACAGGGGATGTCGAGGCAGCACGGCCCCTGTGTGCAAACGGAAGTGCAGAATTATGAAAAAACAAGAATATGTTTTACCCTTTCTGGCAATTAAACAGGTGTTAAGATGTTCAAACACCAAATATAAACCTTTTGTAAGGGATCAAGTCTGCATTAACCACACATACTTGTGAACATGCAAACAAACATGCTCTGATAATATATGCATAGTCTTTGAAACGGATTGGCCTACACCAGAGACGGCCTTTTTTATGGCCTAGTCTCACCAGTGTCAGACCAGAGAACGCCAAAAGGCGCCCAGCACAAAGACAATGCAAGCATCAGAACACTTCGAGCTCGGGTCGAGCAGTTATATCTATTGGACCTTCCATCTATGACGAGAGCAGAACCCGGCAGGAAAAGTGCCCGACAGGCCTACGTAATTTACATTTATTTGTAAGGCGCCTTCCAGTAATGTCTCAAGGCGTAGCCGATGGGGAGGATGGATTGATTAGCAGTGTCAAAACCAGCAATGACACCGAGGAGAACTCTTCTTTCTTTGCGTATCACAGCAAATACGTTCAGGAGTTGTATGCCAGTGTTGCGGTCTGCTAGCCACAAGAGGGCTTTGGGAGAGTGTTTAGTTTTGCCCTTCCTACGTTTGCAAACTACAGTGGTTTATCTTCTTGGTTCTTTCGGTAAAGTCACGTAGAAGGGAAGTAATAAAATAATAAAAATAAAACATAATAAAACAGTGGTTTAGTATATTGCGTACTATTTGTATTACTATGAGTGAGGGGGTATCCATAGAGGAGAGAAGCTCTTCCGTGACCACACCTGCAGAGCGATGACTGCAAAATGACCTTGGCAGAAGCCACATGCATTCAGACATGCAACTTGAAATGTATATCTTTATGTAACTAACAACCGAGGTCTGAGTTAATGGACCCAGATGCACATGCGGCACTGTTCCCATGTGTATCTCATCACTTGCATTCCAACACCGGCCAGAATCGGCAAACTTGAAAATTGCTTAAAAAACTGATCCTGTTTTTTAATGTCGGCACCTGTTTAGGTAGCCTTACCTTGCAAACGCACACGATTAATGTCAGTGGGTTCTCACCTGGGTAAATAAGTTGGTGGGAATGAGGTGGGCTGCGTGGTGCATGGGTGAGTAGCGGGGCTGCGCGAGTTGGCACACAGCAGAGAGAGTAGGGGCGTGGGTCGGGATGCTTGCCTTGCGTGCTCTTGAGCCGGAATATTGGACGTTGGCTTTTTAAATACCCATGATATCTGCTTATGTCCCAATGTCGGATGCACGACCCAGGGATATAATTCATGAAATCTGTTTAAATTGTAAAACTGCTTCCCCATTCAACTTGTGGGCATTGTTGTCTGGCTCATGGACGACACCGAATCCAGGTAGCTTCGGCCACAATATTGCAGTGGACCACGCAAGTCAACGCCCGGCGCCCATTGTCTGGGATGCGCTGGGTTCTTAACGTTTGTCTCCCTTGTAGCCACGACAAGCAGCGGTGAGGAAGAGCAAACTCGGCAACCCAAGGTGGAAGAGGAGGATGAGGATGAGGGAGGCGAGGTGGAGGTGGTGTGGGAGCTCAGCCCCAAGGAGGAGCAGAGAGTCTTGGCGGAGTTGCTGCTGCTGCCCGCGACGTTCTTCTGCTACAAAAACGAGCCCGGCTACACCAGCGACTCCGACGAGGGTACATGCACCGCGCGTGCGCACCTCGCACACGTTAAAACAATAATAATCTTACTGCCGCCAATGGTGGTGGCGGTGCTGCCGCTTTATGTGGGTGGCGCTGATGCCGGCTCGTAACGAGGTGGTTTGTGCGTTGCAGAAGATGAGGATTTCGCCACTGCCGTCAGGAACCTGAAGGGGAAGCTCTACCTGGAGAGGGACTCTGGTAAGCGAGCACCTGTCATGTCCTCCCGAGGAGCTGTAACTTCCTCCGTGTGCACGGTGGTTTATTTGACAAAAGTTCAACATTTTTAAATGGAAAATCGCTACAGGTTGAACATTTTGTTTGAAATTGAGTCCAGGTTGCTGATTGGCACAAACGTAACAAGCGCGTGATGAAGTGTGTACGCATATTAAATCTAAAACTTATGAGGCGAGCGCTTTATACTGTGAAAACCACATGGTCAAATGCATGAACAAGTACACAGAGTGAAATGGTGCGCACCGCGGGTTCTTATTGAGTGGGCTGTAGCGGTTGCAGATGTACTGTGCGGCGAGGCTAAACTAGAGAGATGAACCAGATGATACTGGTGGCGCGTTTTGCATGTGCGTGGGAGATCATTCCAAGTGACGCAGCTGCGTGAGCGAGAGGGCACCTGTTAAGGATTTTATGATAGGGGCAGTCACATTTTGATGATTTTGAGACCAAAGAGAGCAGAGTTATTGTTGGGAGTGAAATAAAAGTTGTTGCATTTGTAGACGATGGATATCCAGTGAGGCAGTCCTGTTGCCGGGGGTGGGAGCCACGGTGGCGAGATGCTCGCTACCTCGCCTGGTATACTGGAGGTCATTAGTTCGATCACGACCCTGGCGCCTGTATAATTGGAGTTTGCATTTTTTCTCCTTGGTCGCGTGCTACTATGAATTTCCACGTGATAAGCCACTTAAATAAGTGATCATTTGTGGCCAGGTGGCTTCTGAAAAAACAACATAGCTCAGTGGGTTTTACCTGGTAAAATAAAAATAGTTTATAGTTTCATACTCTTTGGTTCTTTCGGTAAAGTCACGTAGGCGTCAGACCCTGGTACGCGTGGCAATGGGCGGTGAGTTGCAGCTGTCATGTTTGCGCCGCTCTAATTTCTGAATTCGCTGGGATGGTGCGGCGGCGGCGGCGGTATCTCTCACAGAGCACAGGAGGCCACGTGTGGAGGCTCCACGCGCCACCACCTGCGGTGGCCACGGCGTTGTCGTCGTCGAGGCAGCCGCCAACGTTCCCGAGCAAGAGCAGCGGCCGGCACAGGTGAGGAGGCGACGCCGTCTTGCAAGGAAGCTGATTTTGTCATCGTCGATGCCGCTGTCCACCGGTCGCGATTCATAACTGTCAGCAATCCCAGTCGGGGCACAGAACGTGGTGCAGAAAGCGAGAGAATTGAGGCGGGCGGTATGTGCCCGCACCTACCACCTTACTTCCCCCAGCCTGCTACCCACAATCCTCACCAATTTTTTTTTTCTGTCCCAAGAGCAGGTGAAGGGATGGCCATCTGAGCTGGAGTTTGTCAATGAGATGTGGTAAAATATGCAATTAGCGTTTGAGCACAGGCGGCACAATGCGAGCGCTTGCGTGAATTTTGTAAGAGGTGAATTGCATATGGTACACGTGGCATCAGGGAGCTGTCACAGTGGTGTTACGGTTAGCAGCGCACTGGACTTGCAATCCAGTGGTTGCCGGTTCGCCTCTATCTCCCGGCACAGCAGTTCAACCACTGGGCTAGGTTCATCAAATCCCCCCCCCCCCCCCCCCCACTTTTTCCGTCCACCCTGCAGTTTATATGGGTATAGCGCTGCACCTTTTTCTTTTGCATGTGACATCGTGCGATGTGGCGGTGCTGTGCGCAGGAGGCGGAATCGGCGAGCCGCCCTGAAGCCTCGACTCCAGCGGAAGCTGACCCCGGCGCACGCTCAGCCACGCCGCCTCACCGGGGTACGTGGCCACGTTGCTCCCGACCACCACCATCTCCCCCTCGGCGGGACGCTTATTTGACTTGGGAGATAGACTGGGAGAGGCCCCAGTACTTGGGATTAAGACTCTATTGTCACGGCCCAAGCCGTTGAAGCCACCACCGCACCTCGCTGCCAATGCTGCCTACCCTCCACCAGATCCTGAAACTTCTGCGCAGTCGACACGCAGCCACCTCCAACATCTGACAGTCCTCCACAATCTGCGCTTTGATACCCAGAGACCTACAGAGTCTCATAGAGACCTATAGACTCGCATAGAGACCCATATATCTGCCCTGACAGCCTCCCACCATCTGCTCCTTGGTTGGTCTCTCCACATTCTGCGGACTTGTGGAGTCGATTCCATTGTGTCAAGGCGATCTACCCCCCCACCTTGGGCAACGTATTTACTGTGGCCACAGTAGTGAGGCCACTGCTGCAGAAGACGATGGTGCAATTGCTGACCCTGCATTTGTTTCCCATCAGCTGCTGTGGGGGCACCCGTGGATGTGAAGATGACCGTGCAGGCTTCACGGCCTGGCCTCCTCCCCACCCCTCCCGCCGGTACTGCTAGCTATTGCGTGATTTATTATCATTAGTCATTGTGATTACATAGGAAAGCCTCACTTTTAGCCTCAAAACTCGTATTCAAGAGGGTCTTCCCAATTCATACAGTAGGGGGCAATGTTGCTGTATGTAATCCGAGTTCAGTGATTTGCAGGTATTTTTTCAGGATTGGGGAATTTTGCCAATACCACTTAACTTGTGTGTTTATAGTTCTGCTTCGAAACTAGAGAAGCTGGAGGAAACCCATGCAGAACAGGGGGAGATTGTAATGTGAACATTTTCAAGCAGTGCGTGGAAAAAGCGTGATCCCTCCGGTGTAAAGGATGAAACATAAGCAAAAGGAATCAAACCCAGGCACGTGTTGTTATGAGGCCACACATTTTAGCACTGTGCGCACCCGCCGCCCACTGTTTAAACGAGAAAGCTAAACTTTTTAAATTAATTATCTTTTCAGTCCTTTTCACCAAATTCAGTTTAACACTTAGGCTTTCATGACCAATATGATCCATAATACAGGTTTTTTTTTTGGGTTACCACCCAAAAAAACTTGTATTATTGTTCACTCAATTCAATTGGTCCTTTGGCCATCATGTGGAAAAGTAAACTCCATTCAGGCTCACTGCAGGATTTGGAACAAAATATTCACCACGACGGCAGTGGTGCAAATGGCTTGCAGCCTTGCGGCGGGTGGAGAGATGCGTCTTGCAGGATTGTACCGTGACCCCAGCTCCTGTAGCTCTTGCCCCCCCCAGGTTGCCGGCTCCAGCTGGCTCTGACGCCGTGCCAGGAGGGGCACAGTGTGACCTGTTGTTTGTGCCGCTGCTTGCCGACGCTCTCCAGCAGCGGACGTGAAGGGGGATGCTGCTTCGCTGGTGCAGGAGAGCCGCCCCCGCACGGCGGCGGTTGCGGATGAGGAGGTCGTCTTTGCCGGTCAGCTGAGCCCCACGGAGGAGCAGCGAGTCCTGGCGCAGAACCTGCAGCTCCCAGCCACCTTCTTCTGCTTCAAGAACCTGCCCGGATACACCAGCGACTCTGGAGAGGGTAGGGGCAACGGCCAGCGCGCACGAGTTTCACGGCCAGGCCGTAGCGCCATTCCGGTTGCGGCACTGACCAGCGAGAGTCTCGCTCATGCTATCGTTGGGTTGTGCCGCCTCCCCAGATACAGACGACTACGAAGAGGCTGTGAATCGGCTGCGCGGGAAGCTGTACAAGGAGGATAGCAGATGCCAGGAGCAGCAACAGCAGCAGCAGGATCAGCCGCAGGGTGAGTAGGCTATGCGGCACGGCATGTGAGGCACGGCACGGCCACACGCCCATGTATGTCAGTGTGTCATTGTGGGTTTAGCGGACGGGGGTTTGATTTGACAGCGTCTCGTCTGCAGGACCCGCAGCGCAGATGCCTGGCGTGGGAGAGATGAAGGTGGAGCGTTGTGAAGAGGTGAGCCCTTTTGAGGCCTTCCCTGGTTAAGTCAAATTAAGTTGCAGCAACATCAAAGTATCATGTGCGCGACTTTCTCAACGGACAAGGAAATGTATCAAATACTATGTCGCCCAAATGGTGGCCGCCTTCAAGACGTCACTGTGGTTAGTAGATGTGGTTGGTACACGTGTGGTGGTGGCGTGGCCAGCTCGGTGAGTTTGCTCTTCCGTGGTTTCCGTCCTTGTAGGTCACCACCGTGGACCGCCCCTCGGCCGTCCCCCGTTCCAGGCGGAGCCTCCCCCGCTCCCGTCGCTCCGGAAATGTTTGCCACGACACAGGAACCAGACAGGGCGTCTCCCCGCCCCTCGTCGCCACGCGCAGCCGACACCCCGGACGCGGGAACCCAGTCGGAGGAGATGGAGGCAACGTCGGGGGCGCTCAAGTTTTCCACGTTGCGGTGGGGCGCCCACATGCGTGACGGCGCGGGGAGCGGAAACTCCTGGGCACTCCCGCCCATCTCCACAGTTGGTGAGTGCAACCGTCTGGCGTCGCCATCCGCATCTCCGCTCCTAGTATTCTCAAGCCTTGATTAATGCAGTTCATGCCAAACCTCCACTCTTGATTCTACATGATAGTAATACAGTCGACTCGATTATCTGCGTTTAATGACGGGGAAGATGGCCGCAGATAATTCAAATTGCGGATAATCCAAAAATATAACCATTTTACTCGGATCGCTCGCCAATGATAACGGTCCTGCTTCCGCGCAGAAGACTGCCCACTAAGTGGATAGCAGAACCACGCCAATCAAAATTAATTAAACTCCGCCCACAAGATACGCAACAACTGTACTGTAGGGGCGATCACGTGGATTTTGAATGAACCAGAGCACATATTTGTTCGGTTTCAGCACGTGGCTTGTAATAAACATTTCCAAGAATAACATTGTGTAACTGTTTTCATATTGGGCTTCAGGGAAAATCCATGAGTTATGAAGTTGTGTCAAAATCTCAGGTGACCAATTAATCCGCAAATCGGTAAAACCACGTGCGGATCATCGAGAGTCTACTGTATGTGCAGGAGCTCAATGGCAATGTGTGCTTGCCACAAGGGGGCTTAAGGAGCGAGTTCGTTTAGTTTTGTTAGTCCTCCATCGAAGGAGCGTAGACTTAGTGGTTTTACTATACGGTCCATTGTTTGGGTTGCGTTGGCGCTCTTGGTTATGAACCAGAAAGAGTAGTGTCATTCCCTGGCGCTGCTTGTGAGGTGTTACATTTATAATTTCGTGTGGTAGGGAGTTTGTGTCGAGGTTGGCGAGTGAGCTTAGACGGCTTTGGGAAAACCCTCCGGGTGAATGTCTGACATGGCTGCCAGCCAAAGTTGGAAGCGGACAGTGGTGTTACCATGCGGCCCATGGTTTGAGATTGGTGCCCCAGTCGCACCGTGCGATACCTTTGTTGTTCATCGGTGTGGGAGGTGAGAGCCGCACATGCCCTGCGACGAGGTAAAGTAACCTTGAATTCATTCCCAAGATGTGCGAGCCATGCTGCCTCGAGTCGTGTTCCACGCCGTGCGCGACCCTCTGCCGTGTGTTCTCCACAGACACGCCGTCGTCCTCGTTTGCCTCTCTGGCCTCGCAGGCCGCGACTGAAGCCTTCGTGCACAGTTCTGGAGGTGACTCCACTGCACCCGTGCATTGCACTCGCGGGATTATTGACATCGCGATAATCATCATGTCGTGAAAATCAACATGTTGTTGAATCGTGATATCACGGCGACGCTAACAAGCACTCGTTTTCCCAATAGAAACCCTGCAGTCGTTTGCTTCCCTCGCCACGCAGACGAGCGCGGCGAGCACGGCGAGCGTGGCGAGCGCGGTGAGTGCGGAGACCCCGTTCAGCACAACCACAGGTGAGCGGCAGGCAGGGGTGGGGGGAAGCGGACGCTCATGCGCCGTCACAATCGTAGGCTGCGAGCGAGTCCAGGGTGGCTGATGAGACGTGTGTGCGCCCCCCGTGCCCAGGTGAAGCGCGCTTGCTCTTCGAGTGCCCCAGGGGAAGTGAGATCAGCTTTTCCGACCTCGCTTCCAAGAGCTCGGACTTTCTCTCCGATAAGAAAGGTAAACCGACGTTGCGTCTGTGCTGCTGGGCACTTGCATGTGGGGGGGGGGGATACAGAAAGGCAGCCAAATGATTTGGCCCAATGGGGCACGCCAGTGTAATGACACGTTGCCCATATGCTGCCACCAACACACACACTCGCTTCATTGAAGGCTGATGCTTTCATTTCAAGGCTGTGTTTACTTGTGCGACGTCACGGACACGGATGGAGCTTTAGCCTGCTCTTGGTGTCCATAGTTTGTATTTTTCCCCCGTCTCTTAGAGCGAGCTGCTCACAATCGGAAGGTTGCCAGTTCAAACCCTGGTCGGCTGTTGTCCTCTTGTCATCCTTCCCGGGGTCGATCAAGCAAGTGCCATTTTGTTGGGAGGTCTCAACAATGGATAGACTCGCCCCCACCATAAGAACGTAGTATTTCTAATACTGGCTCAGGGCTGCAAACAGGAGGATGAGCACACTGCCTCAATGCTCATTGGAATAGAAAATAACTTTTGGCTTGTTCCCATTTTACAGTTTTGAGCCATTGGCATCAACGCAACACAAGTGACGTTCGACAATAGGTTATTGGGCACGTGACGTGACGCAAGTCATCTTGGGTGTGAGAATCGCGTTACTCGACGAGTCGTTGGGGTCTAAAGCGGCCGCAGCGGCGATCGACGCGGGGCTTTGTATCACCGCAGACGCAAACTTCTCGTGGGCGGGCGCCGGAGCGTCCGTGTTCGGGGCCGCGGGGATCCAGAAGAAGCGCGATGGGAGGAAGGAAGAAGAAGACGCGGACGAGGGGGGCGAGGAGGAGCAAGAGGAGGACGACGCTCGCGAGTCCAGCGATGACATCCACTTTGAGCCACTCGTCTCGCTGCCTGAGGTGTGTGCGCTGGGGCGATCGCCACCCGTGGGCGGAGGGGGGGTGGGATCGGTGCCCGTTAGATTCAACGTGCCGCGTCGTACGTACAAAATGTCTGTTGGCCTTGTGCAAACTACAAGCTCAAGGGAAGCTGAACTTGTGTGGCCACGTTCTTTACGCCACCGACTCGGAGGTGGAAAAATGTGGCCGTGTGGATGAGGCCGAGAGTTTTTGTACGTGCAGCGCTGCACACACACACCTGTGTGTTCTTGACTATATTCAACAACACACAGGTGTTTCTGTTGTGATGGGTTTCTTGGAATCCTTGCAGCTTTACAACCGATCATGTTAATAACGCACGTGCCGTCAGTTATACAATAAACAACGAAACTGACGACAAAGAAGGGCTAGTTCTCCGTTACGTTGTGTGTATATGCTTCCTTACATGTTGACTGTGCTTGTATGTAAAGCGACACCTGTGCTAAGAAGAATCCCACCCCTAGATTATATACACATTAATTTAGAAATGTTATCGCTGTGCATGTTACTTCACAAACCTTTTTGTCAGGATGTAAGATAAAACGATATTATCAAAACGGCTGATACGGCTATCGTGGTCCCCTGTACCCGCACGAATCATCGCGGTGTTCACGGTATGGCGACGGCCCCCAAGCATGTGACGCGAGTTGCTTCAGAGCGGTGTGGTGGCCGTGCCCTCTGGGCGCCACCGACGTGTGTGCTCGCTCGTAGGTGGAGGTGCGGTCGGGCGAGGAGGAGGAGACGATCCTCTACAAGGAGCGTGCCAAGCTCTTCCGCTGGGACCGCGATGCCTCCACGTGGAAGGAACGTGGCGTGGGCGACATCAAGGTTGGCTCGGGCACTTTGCCGTCTCCCCTCGCTGAACGATCTCCGGAGTCGCTGGTCGACTGGAGCAGGTGGCACTTGATTCAGTAGTCGCAGCCATAGTGAGATGGCATCCTGGATGTGGTGTGTCGGGTGTAGTCAGTGCTCTGATCTGGGAAAGGTGCGAGAGCCCGTGTCCGACTCCTGGCGGCCACCTGTGATTTTTAATCTGGCTTCCCATGTGTCATGAGTTGGTGGTCTCAGCCTGGTCACCAATGAGTGAATGAAAACAAATCGCATTACATTAGTGCTGCACTTAATTTCACCTGATAATAAAAAATATTAGTTTGACTGTCGTGCAATGAACATTACTTTCAGTGGCAGAGTGGTTGGTAAAGTGCCACCCCCTTCTCCTACTGTGCAGAATTGATTGCGTGAAGGGATCTCGGAGGTAGCTATGCGGTATCTGCTTCCAGGATTCCTTCACGAAGGGCCGTGCGCTCTGCAAAAGACCTGATGGGTTCTATTGTCACGTGGTGCTGATAGCGTAATGGAAATAATGGTCGAAGAAATAAATAAAAAGCAGAGGGGTGTGGGTGGGTGCGTGCGGTGAGGACAACTCACCAAGCGCTGCAATATGACGCCAGGTGCTGCACCACGAAGCTCGGGGCGGCTTCCGGGTGCTGATGCGGCGCGAGCAGGTGTACAAGGTGTGCGTCAACCACGCCATCACGGCCGAGCTGCAGCTGACGCCCATGCAGGCCTCCAACAATGCCTTCGTGTGGATCGCCAACGACTACTCCGGTACGGAGCAGCGCGCGCGTGCCCCCCGCCCCCTTGCAGTGACGCGCGCGACAGTGACGCGCACCGCCTGCGGCCATTCCGCTGACAGGCCGACGACGCGTTCCCCTCCGTGCCACGTGTGACACAGAGGGCACCGGGAGGATGGAGCAGTTTGCCTGCAGGTTCAAGACTCCGGAGCAAGCGAGAATCTTCCTGGTGACGGTGCACGATTGCCAGGAGCGGCTGAAGGCTCAGAGCCAAGCGGCGGACGCCCCCCCCGGCGCTACAACGGAAGACGCCCCCCTGGAGGTCTCCAGTGAGACCAACCCCACGGTGTTCCTCGACGTGGCGGCCGACGAGGAGCCGCTGGGACGGATCTCCATCGAGCTCTTCGCCAACGTCGTGCCGCGCACTGCCGAGAACTTCCGAGCGCTGTGCACGCACGAGCACGGCTTCGGATACCGCAACTCCACCATCCACAGGGTCATCCCCGGTTTTGTGTGCCAGGTGAGCATGCTGGGAGATGTGGGTTTGTGTGACAAATGTGATTTCCTGCTCAAATGGCTGATGATGAAGGTGCTCATCTCCTGTTTTATGGCCCTGAGCCAGTGGTGGAAATTCCACATTCCCATGGGAGGGGGTAGGTATCCATATGCCAACTTTAGGTGCCACCGTGGCGAAATGTTAAATACCTCGCCCAGTTACAGGATGTCTCATGAAAGTAATCAAATTTTATCGAAAACACCCTCAAATCGCTCGCCAGAATTTAAGCGTGGCCGCGAGAACCCTCCGTACAAAATGTTTTCGGCCACGAACCCATCCCCCTGCGCCTTTTTCTGCCGGCAGGGTGGAGACTTCACGAACCACAACGGCACCGGCGGCCGCTCCATCTACGAGAAGCCGTTCGAGGACGAGAGCTTCAGGATTCTGCACTCGCGCGCCGGCATCCTTTCCATGGCCAACTCGGGCCGCAACACCAACACGTCACAGTTCTTTGTCACGCTGCGTGCCACCCCGCACCTCAATCACAAGCACGTGGCTTTCGGCGCCGTGCGGTCCGGCATGAGCATCGTGCGCGCCATGGAGGAGCTCGGCTCTGAGTCGGGCAACACCACCAAGAAGATCGTCGTCACGGACAGCGGGGAGGTCGCGCGTGACCCCTGAGGGTCTCGTCGCGTGACACCCGGTTGACAGCGCGTGAACTTGCTGTCTCGCTCTCCTCTGTAGAACCTCTTATTTAAAATAAGTTTCCTGCAAATGTCGCGGGCTGCACCCCCACCACCCACCACCGTAATGGAACAAGCGAGATCGCTGCGCCTCGTATTTCCTGCTGCTCGTGTAGCGGCAGATGTCTCACTGAAGGCAAACGTGTTATCAGCGCACCAAGTTATATCGTGTTAGTTGGCTACAATATTTCGGGAATAAAAAGGATGCAGAGAATAGGGTTGTGCATAAACGCTATGAAGTTAAATCCACCACTGTGAATTACCTAGTTTTTTTCGCTGGCGATCAATATTTGAGCAGAGCCAGCTAACCTCCGAGGTGACCATGACCCTGAGAGCCGTTCTTTGAGCAGCTGAGTCACACAGTTCTGTGTGCAGTGGGACATTAAACAAGCTCCCGAGTAAATTTTCTAAAGTTCAGAAGTGATCACAAGTAGAAACCTTGAGGAAGCTCCTCATTAACACGAGCAGGGTGCACTGCTGTCACGCTTCCCTTGTCTGCCCTGCAATTCCTGTTGTCCCAAAGTCTTTAGCTCGATTTGTAGCGTTGATTAAAATTGAAATTTAATATTTTGTAAATCAAAAATGAAGTTTGTGTTTCTGGCATGTTCATTGTGGAAAGATGGGAACTGGTTGTGAGCTCCTGAGCGCTTTGTGTGCAATTTACTTCATCGGCTCGGCTACACACATCAGTGGTGAATTGCGCCCTTTGTAGTAATTAGTGGAATCCATGGAAGCACAACCATGCGTTGATGAACATCATTGATTTTCGGTGTGCTCGTTTTTTGGCGTTTCGATATGTTTATGTGAAAGCCTTGGTTTTTCTCAATTGTGCCAGAGGTAATGGAGAGAGTAGGTGCCCCCTGTGCTTGTGGTGGTGGCGATGGCGAGAGACTTGGAGCTGCTCTAGCGGCCATGACGCTGCGGGGGCGACTTGGTAGGGCGAGCGTGCCCGGGTCCATCGCCTGTTGTGCCGGCAGCGCCAGCATTGGGCCTGAAATCACGAGGGGTGTCGGCCGTGCGGAGTTTGTCTCTGTGAGGAGTGCGTGCGTGATCCTAGCTCGACGTCGACCCCTCCATGTGGTCCGTGCCTCTGGATATCCGTGGACAAAAATATCGCGTTCCTTCAGCTGTGGCTGCATGTGAATGCCCGGACATCCATTGGTCACGGATGCATGACCTAAACAGAGGAGTGAAAGTCGTCACTTGTCACTCCCCAAAGATTGCGCTGCCCGTGCAGGCTCGGCCGCTGTGTCGAGATTTGCGCAAGCTGGGATGAGTTGAAGGCACGTGCCTGGCAGTGAGCACCCTGTGGTGCTGCGCCCAAGTGGAAACGCACCGAGCAGCGCTCGGTGGAGGAACAAACGCGCACCCCATCGCACCCTTCAATACGGTGGCACCCTCCATTGAAGCTGCTACGCCTGCTAGATAGCGTAAACCACGTTAGAGCCTTTGATGCTGTTAAATTTACACTTGCGTAATGTAATATGACGTAAATGACAATGTAAAATATGTGTGCCCCCCCCCCCCCCCCCCATGAGGCTTTGGGTTATGGGGGTTGAGAGGACACTGATCTGTTTGAATTTGGCAGTGAAGTTGGTGTCGCGCGTGCACCGAAATTACCATGCACGCACGGTTTATCTTTATTCACAGACTCTACCTCTCGCTGCGTTCTAGTTGACACGGAACTCCAGTGTGTCCAATGCTAGCAGGTTTGGCGGCTTTGAGCAGAGCGTTCGTACGTCTGCGCATTTGGCTGTTGAGTGTTTTGATATTTAGTAAGGAATAAAGCCGATATTGCTAGTTTGTGTGGATGTGGAGGAGTGTTCAGCCCACGTGGGATACGGTCGAGCAGCATGTGGGGGGGGGGGGGGGGGGCGTGAGGTTGGAGAGGGGGTCCTGGTGCCTGCATTCTTTGTTCAGACTCCCTGGTCTGAGAGAGGAGGTGGCAATGCCACAGTTCTGTGGAGGTCCTGGGATACCTTGGGTGGTGGGGAGGACTCGGGATTACCTGCGAAGATCCTGGAGAGAACGTAGCCATAACATTCACATATAACATGTCTATTCGATGCTCCCAATGTCTGTGCTCCATCCCTTCAATCCGCACTCGCCGGCAGAGCGAAGTATGGTGAAATAAACCCAACTACCCACACGGAATAGGGAGGCCCTCTGCCAGCAGCCACGGAGAAAGATAAAATGGGGAGTTTTGTCTTTCATGGTTCTTGTCCATGCAAACTATTTTCATTACAAGTGAGTATAACTCATTCTCCCTCGCCTTGTAGCGAGATTTCACTGCATTTGGATGCCTGCCGTGGAGACGGAGCAATGCAATCGGCTCGTGTGAAGGAGCTGGGTGGATTTTTGCATTGCGAGATCGTGAGAGGTTTAAGGTGTTGGGTTTTAGTTTGACTCGGGTAAAACCCACTGGGCAGTATGTGGTCACTTGAAGAGAGGGGCCTAATTACCCCTACAACACTGGTTACAGCAGCAACTAAAAACATGAAAATAATGCAAAACTACACGGTCAAGTTCTAATTGGCAAGGTCGTGCATCATCAACGAGGTCCAAATAAAAAACACAAGGCTAATAGAACACGTCACATACACACAAAGTGCAACTTCGTTTGCAACACAAGAGCAATCGAATGCACGCACACCTGAAAGAAAATATTAACATCGTGGCGGGAGACCTTCATCCAGCAGTGGAATGACCAAGGCTGCGGATGTCAAATTTGGGAATTTGATTTGAGCCAAAACCAATTTTTCCAAGTTTTGCAGACTTGAGAAGGACATTCGCTAATGACGACTTAACAGATGAGTGAGTTGTGTGCACGCGCGGCGTCACGTGCGTTCTCTTCGCATGTCGCTTGACATCCTGGACACGCAGACGACATGTCTCGCGTCAAGAAATTTTCGAGGTGAAATATATTTTCACATTTGTTCATGTAACAATATGTACGCATTCTGCTGCCAATTATAGTCTCCCCGTTTAACACTTAAGCTTTCGTGGTGCCACGGCCGCAGACCAACTCCCCCTGGCCCCCACACTGAGCACACACCCGCAGCGCGCACACGGAGTGTCCTTGCGGGGGATCGCCTGGCACAGCGGGTTTTCATCTGAAGGGTCTCTCGGAGAAAAGTCCTGCGGTTTCCAGGTGCCAGGAGATTGGCCGACCTTCGCAGGACAGGTCACATTGCGGTGCCCCTGAGTTGGCTTAAAATTGTATGGGCGCACAAAGGTTCATCGGGCCAGTCTTCACCTGAAGACGGCTGCTTGCGTTGTGGCTGAAACGTCGTGAGAATTATTTTACTATGTTTTATTTTTATTATTTTATTCCTTCCCTTCTACGTGACTTTACCGAAAGAACCAAGAAGACAGCCGCAATGAGTCGTGCACAACATCGGGGAGGGGGCTGGGGTGAAATATTAAGCGAGCAGAGCAGATCATGAGGTTAGGGGATCGCAGCGCCACGACCTCCCCCGGCCCCAGACCGAATACACACGAGCAGGGTATGTATTTGCCAGCCGGACGTCCTTCCAGATTAAACAGAGTGAGTCATAAATTAATGAGTACGGGTAGATAGACAATAGGTCGAAGAAGTAACCGTCGCAACGCTCCATGTCAGGGAAGGTAAACGAGCGAGAATCAGGTAGGCGCACGATTGGCCACGCGGGATAACGTAACCCTGGAGTTTTGAAGTCAGGGGGCATAAAAAGGGGAGCCTGAAACCGTTCAGATCAGATCTCGTCTTCAACCTCTTGGCCGCCAAGACCCACTCCCTGCCGTCCTGCCTTCTCGAGCCGCTCGCAGCATCCGTGCGATGCCAGCGAGTGCCGCTACGAGGCAGCGATAGATAAAGTTCTTATTCTTAGGTTTTTTCGGTAAAGTCACGTAGGTAAAACATCAAAATTAATTAAAATAAAGATCACGACGTTTCGGAGGCAACACAACGTCGTGATCTTTATTTTTAATTAATTTTGATGTTTTACCTACGTGACTTTACCGAAAAAACCTAAGAATATGAATCCTTGCAGTCACGAAAGCTTCAAATCTAGAATTAAGGTAAAGTTCTCTTTCATCTTCGTCCCTCCGACGCTCACAGCGTCTGTGAGTACAGCCGCGAGGTACGTGATAGCGCGTGTGAGTATTTAGGGACTTGGGTAGCAGTAGGCTAGGCTTTGCTCGCAGAATATTCCCCTCCGGGCAGTGCAGGGTTTGCGCCGCGAATAAAAGTTAGCACAGAGCATCGGTGTGGTGTCTTGATTTACGTGTGGAGCGGCTGCGGTGGGAAACGCGCTGCGAGGGTGAACGCGGAGCCGCAGCACGAGCGCAAGTCAAGATTATCGCTCGCAGGTGTGGGCGCGAGTGTGCCGCTGCGTGCTCCGTTAGCGTTAGCTGTGGTGTGCGTCGGTGATGATTGCTTGTGTTGCAATCGAAACGTCGTATGCTATTATTTAATTTATTATTTTATCTTTATACGTGACTTTACCGAAAGAACCAAAGAGTAATTCCTGCAGTCACGAAAGCTCCAAATTAAGATAGATATCACAGAGATACATAGAGAGAGAACAAACAGGCACACCGAGAAACCACGCCTCTGTGTCGAGGCCTTAAATAGAGAGAGGGGGCGGAGAGAGACAGCAATGTCCCTTGGAGAGGGCGCTGGCGCGGTATGCCCGATCACTTGGTCGTCGGGGGCCCGGCGGGAGCCGACAGACGTGGTGGAGGAGGGAGCAGAAGGGGCGTACATCGCTCCCCACCTGCCTAGCGAGGGAGGTGGGGTGGATGTCGGCCCCCACACTTTTGCGACCAAATATGCATTCTATAAATGTGTCGTTGAACCCGCCACCACCCGACAGATACAATTAGTAGGGTTTGTCACGAGTAACGAATTGGCACGTGTTGTTTACGTGACAAACATTACTAATTGGCTCTTGTCGGATGGTGGCGGGTTTAACGACACATTTACGTGATCTAACCCAAAAACCTCGGATATAGTCTACCTATAATCCATGAATAAGCCTATTATGCAACTGAAGGTTCGACTGCAGTGACAGCTTCTGCACCACTGCCAACAGCAGCCGGCGTTCCGGCGGTAGAGCGACCGGCTCGCAAAGTTCGGGAGTTCGCGTCCTGATTGTGAGTTCCGAATCAGAATATTTATATTAATTAGGCAAGCACCCTCCCTGTCGAGTTTCCACTCCTCCCTCAAGACCCCCACCTCTTCTCGCTGGCCCAATGGCGGAGCCAGGATTTTCAGGTAGGGGGCAACCCCTCCAGCAATGAAAAATGATAGTTGTTAGTAAGTGAGGACTTGTCCCTTGATTTTTATTCGACGCGTGTCCGGCGATGGCGCAGCCATCGATCGAAGGTCGAATTCGAACCGCGTTGTGTGATCGGCATCGCGCTCGCTGCAGGTGTTGATGCCTTCAGAGAAGTCGTGTACTGTGTACGCAACTGCGCACAATTCTGAGTCACTTATAACTGCTTTGCCGTTACTCATTGCCAATTATGGAATCAGACTATTATCCTATCTTCTCATAGAGTCCCCGGCACATAATCATATGCTACACAGTGGCAGTAGGGGTCGCAAAATTCTGATGTATTACTAATAAACCCCAATGATCCGATCGAAATTAGGGATTTCGATCGGATCATTGGGGGGGCACGTGCCACCCCCCCCCCCCCTGGCTCCGCCAGTGCCCTGGCCCATGATTCCATCCATCCCCTAGGCACCCCCGTAATTCCCGTACCCACTAACATCCCTCCCCATATTTTATCCCTATTTACCATATCACCTTTAGCTACCCTCATTGTGCCACTCCTAAACATTGTAAAGCGCATTGGATAAAGGCGTTATATAAATATAAGATACTGCAGGAGGAATCCAATGAGCTATAAATCTAATTTTTCACAAATGTCCAGTAGGGGAGCGTGGGAACGTTATAACAACAACAAACAATAAAGAATTCTAGATTTGAAGTTTTCGTGACTGCAAGGATCCATACTCTGGTTTTTTCGGTAAAGTCACGTAGGTGAAAACAAAATAAGAATGAAAACTAAATTAAATCACGACGTTTCGGAAGCAACACAAGCCTCCGTCATCAGGTGTGACTGCTCCAGCAACATTTCTGTCGCCTATAAAGCGAGCTATTTAGAGCCACTGGTTATTTATATAGGGTACTAGGGGGGAGGAGCCAAGGATTCGGTGGGGGGGGGGGGCATGCGGCAGGCCGTGTGGGGTCGCGGGCGGTTGCGCAGGGGATTAGCTGAGATAAGCCGATAGATAAACATATTTTTTAATCCTTTATATTAAGTTCACTTGCTTGCTTGCGCGCTTACGACCGTGCAAATCTTTCGGTCGTTTTTTAACCCACTTCCCGTGATCCAATCGAGCTGACATTTTGCACACAGACTCGTTGTGCGTGACAATTTATTTTCGTGAAATTTTTTTTCCAAAATTTTCCACTTTTTAGGAAAAAAGTAAAATTTCATATTTAATTAAAAATACCAATGTGATTAAAATGAAACTCTTACTCAAGAAAAACAGAAATGAATAATAAAATAAAACCGATGCCACGCATATAAAGGATTTATAGTGAAAAACTTTGTTTTTACGGGTTAATTTTTTCCTCGTGATGCGGGGGGAGGGGAGGGGAGGGTGAGTGGAGTGCCTGTACGACGGATGGGGGGGAGTGGACCGGGAAGATAAATCACTAAAACATTTTCAAATTAAACTCAAGTGTAGTGAGCTCAACTGAGTCGCAGACGTTATCTTGGTAGCAACACTATTTATTACACATTAACACGCAACACGATCTACATTCGGGTCTCGAATGCCCATCTAGCCACGCTACGGCAGAACTAGACACGGTTCGCTATCCCGCTCCGGACCACAAGCTGGGTCCAGGACCGCGTGGCTCGAGGCTTCTTCTCCCCGACGTGGATCTCAGTAACACCAGCAACACGCAAAACCCCGAGCTCCTCACGAGGCCCTCGTTATATGCCCCCGGGCTGGGGCTGGCTCCGCCCTTCGCCCCGCCCACCTTCCAGGTCTCTCGGGCTCCTTCTCGAAGGTTCCCGAGAGCTCCTTTGGGCCACGTGACCACCCCGCAGCCCCCGTCCACCGGTGGCCCCCCTCCAATATTATCCGGTCACGTGACAGCAGGTCAACCAGCCTATAATGCCCCAGCGCTCACCCAAGCCCCGCTCGGGCTGGTGGTACTACATCCCGTAACCCGGGCTGCCCGTAATGGCAACACATTACCGGCCGTGGCTTCGCAAGCCCCGGCACAGTGGCAAGCACAGTCACTACACAAGTATCATCCCTCTCTCTGGAGGTGGCTAAAATAAGTATTATTTTGGGAAGTCAACAAGGGTTGTCATATGGTGAGACTCGCCCCAACCAAATGCCTCGATGCCCCCGTATTTAAACAGCAGCAACATCGCTGACGAGCTGGCACCATGGAGAGCGAATCGGTCGCTCCCCGAGCAACAAGAGGAAGCCAATAATCAATCTAGACTCCTTGGTTCTTTTGGTAAAGTCACGTAGGTGAAAATAAAAAATAAAAGACAATGATAAAAATAAAAAAATGAAATAACTAAATTAAATCACGACGTTTCGATTGCAACACAAGCAATCATCATCAGGTGTCAAAATATATCTTAGATTTGAAGTTTTCGTGACAGCACGGGATCCAATAATCGTTTGGAATCGGAATCGAGTTTAATGAATTTCGACGCTTGGATCGATTCTGGATGTCGTCATCGCTCCCCACAATCCATTGCGCGTTTTTCCCGCCTCCACCCAACCCCCTCACACCGCGAGGCGACGAAAGGGCCAAGAGGGTGCGCGCGTCTCTCGTCGTCTCTTCTCGCCTCGTCAACTTGCCGCCACACCACCACCTCGTCGTCGTCTTCGTCGTCGGCCACCGCCACTCCTCCGTCAGCCAGAAGCGAAGCGGTGCCGCTGCGTCGCCCTCGGGCTGCTGCTGCTCGAGGTGAGGGCGGAGGAGGCCGACTCAGCGCGGCGCCATTTTGTTGTTGGGTGTCGGAAGGAGCGGGCGGCCTCCTCCATCTCCTCGTCACGGAGAGAGAGAGAGAGGCTCACTACCTCGTCAGAAAGATAGAAAGAGGGGCTCCCCACCTCGTCACGGGGTGTGTGGTCTCGGGTTGGGTTCGTGTCGCGTCCATACGTCGCGAGGCGCCCGCGTTACCCCCCCCCCCCATCAACCTCGTCTTCGCAAGTGCAACGTCACCACCCCCAACCTCGTTACCTCCTCGCTCGGATATCATGTTACTTCGTTACCTCCTCGCTTAGTCGTCTCGTTACTTCGTTACCTCCTCGCTCAGATATCTCGTTACTTCGTTACCACCTCGCTCAGTCGTCTCGTTACTTCGTTACCTCCTCGCTCAATCATCACGTTACTTCGTTACCACCTCGCTCCGTCATCTCGTTACCTCGCTCAGTTAACCCGTCACTCGTTACCTCACTCATCACGTTACCTTGCTCAGTAATTACGTTACCACCTCGCTCAGTCACCTCGTTACTTCGTTACCACCTCGCTCAGTCATCACGGTACCTCGCTCATCACGTTGCCTCGCTCAGTCATCTCGTTACCTCGCTCAATAATCACGTTACCTCGTTGCCTCATCGCTCATTAATCTCGTTACCTCGCTCATCACGTTACCTCGTTAAATTTTCGCTCCCGTCGCGTTACTCGCTACAAGCCTACAACGTCGCTCCTTAATGGCGTTGCCCCTTTACCTCACCATTGTTACGTCGTTACTCAATCTCGTTACGTCCTCGTTAACCTTATACAACTAGTTATCCCTTGTCAACTTAGTGACCACCTCACGCGTCTCGTTAACACATTACCGCCTAGTTCCTCATTACCTCGTTAGCGAGCGCAGGGATGGGGATGGTGGCATGTGCTTCCCGAATTGCCGACTTTGTGAAACATGGGGTCATTCTTGCGTTATCGTTAGGGTAAGGGCCATTATCGTGGTCAAAGGTTTCTTTAATCTTAGGTTTTGTAACTGTTTTTTCTGCAAACTATTTTTAAAAGTTCGAACTTTCGTTACGGGATATGCTATGGTAAGCCTGGTCACGCAAGAGTGTACATTGGACTAACGTGGACTGTATCCTGGTGTCTTGAGTTATCACCTTGAACACTGAATTTGGGTCATTATTAGCGCTATAATTATTGTATTTTTCGTCAAAAAGTCAATTATTTTCTTCTCCAATGAGAATTGATGGATAATTTTCTATTTACAGCCCTGAAACAGTGGTAGTAGTGATAATTTCCTATGAAGGGGGCAAGTCCGTCATTTCTTGCCTACAAAGTGGAACTTATATTATTGACCCCGGTGGGATGATGGGATGAGTTTACCCCCAACCCGGATTTCAACTCGCAACCTTCCGATTGCGAGCTACTATTCACTCTACTGCCGAGCCACCAGGTCCTGTAGGTCATGAATGTCGTTATGATTACAAATCGTCTCGTAATCTTCATTGGAGTCGTTAATGTAGTTATGAGCCCGGTGATCTGATGAATTTCAGATTGACCGTGCTGGGCTCCATGCTGAATGTGAACCTGGCCGCAGAGAGCTGCGTGTTACAAGACCTTGACGCTCCTGGGGAGAAGTCTTGGGTTATCCTTGACCCCGAGAACAGGGACCCTTTAGCGCAAGATATGGGATTAACCGCTCTTGCTTAACTCGATGACTAACATTTTAAGCCAACAATAAATTTGTCCATAAGAGAGCAAATCTACAACATTTACATTCCGAGTACTCAGATGGTAAATGTTGTGGATTTGCTCTCGAACACCACCAGTGTGCTGTACTAGTAACGAATTGGCATGGTCTATTTACATGACAAACCTTACTACTTTACTAATTGGCTGTGTCGTTTGGTGGTGGTTTTAACAACACATTTATATTTATGTGATCTAACCGAAAAAAACTATGGATGATATTGGTCTCGAAAGCCTTTGTTAAATAAATGTGTCCATTCCCCAAATAATAACAATTTAAGTCTCCGTATAGTATAAATCTGAACAGGCACACTCGCTGAGACACGGGTGGAATCATCTTCCAGAGACTCAAATGTGCCCCCAGTCTAACGTATTTAAATCTCTCACGCGCACTACATCTATAACTGCTACAGCTTGAATTCGTTCGGTATGTACTGGCAATGTGCACCATATGCATTTGTGCAACTTGGAGTCATGTTCATTGTATAAATACCTTACTGTGTATGCATTACATTTGTAGTGGCGTGTATTAGTGTCTCTGGTATAGTGCCAGTACCGAGAGAAAGGCGGTGCTGGAGGTGTGGAGTCTCAAGCACCGGGATGAGTACGGAATGGAAGGGCCTCTCGGGGGCATAGTTTGGGTACAAGCGAGAGAGAGGTCGGGTGAGGACATGGTAGTCTGGGTGAACCCGAGAAGGCACGTGACCGGATGAGGTAGCAATAAGGGCCAAAGAGGAGGTGAGAGGGACACGTGATGTGGGCCCAGAGTCTCTGAGAAGGATCTGGAAGGGTGCGTGGCCAAGGGTGGAGCCTGGCCACGCCGGCCGAGTCCCAAGAGCGATCTTGGCTGTTCGTTTCTTGGAATGGAATCCGCCGGCTAAGTCTTCTGTCTTTGGGCTTCACGCACGGCATCGTGGACCAGCCAGGGATTTAGCTGACATGGTCCAAGTATATCGTTATCCCGTTGAGTGGTTACGTAGCGAACCATTGTGGTCACCACCCTAAGTCATTATCCCGTTGAATGGTTATGTAGTTACGCGTGGTGGTTACCACTCTTATCGTTATCCTGTCAAGTGGTTATATGGTTACGTGTTTAGTATGTGTCAATCAACACCCTGGACACCCCTGAAAATTAGATGCGCCGCAACAAGATATTAGCCAGGTGAAATATTTGAGCAAAGTACTTTTGTTCAGTGTTGTGAACGCACACTTGAGTAACACTTCCCTGCGTCCCTGCTGTGTGCTGCTCATCTGTAGGCCTTCTAAAAACCAGGAATGGGGGAGGCAGATCCAGGAAAACTCTTTGTTGGAGGCCTGAACATTGACACCACCGAGAAGGCTTTGGAAGCGACCTTCTCCAAATATGGAAGAGTTGCAGACGGTAGTATTACACCCAGCACGAATAACACTTTTAAGTCGTTTCATAATTATATTGAATTAAACTTTTGCTTGTGGTGCCTACATTCTCCACTGGAATATAATTTTGAAGACTCGCCTGGGTGATCATGCAAAGACCCATCCCTAATGGACCCTTATCAATTATTTTTACATTTACTGTTATATTAAACAATTAATCTGTATAAAAAGTTGATTCACTTACAAAATAACTTTGTTGCAGCAAACTTCACTTTTGTGACAACACATTCAGGGTGTATACACAACCGAGGGTGAACCTTGGTATCTCTGCTCCCGTTGTCTTTCGCTCAGTTCTGCTGATGAAGGACCGCGAGACGAATTTGTCTCGGGGGTTTGCATTCGTCACCTTCGCCAACCCGGAAGATGCCAAGGAAGCTGAGAGAGACGCCAATGGAAAGGTAGGGGAACACAAGGGAACGATATCATCACCCCTCGCTTCAGTTAAACGAGTTAAGCAAGTTCCTGCTTTGATGAGCATTGAGGGGGTGCTAGTCTCCTGTTTGCATCTTTGAGGCAGTGGTGGAAAATTCCTACGGCAGAGATCCCTCCATTTGAAAACCACTATTGACTTCCCACAAAGCGGTATTTATTTTATCAATCCTTCCCAGATGATGGGTTGAGTCAACTTACAACCATAATTTGTATTTACAACCTGCTTATTGCAGGCCATTCTCTAACCACTGAACCAATTTGCCTCAGTCGGACTCTAAACAACCGTATCAACATTATGCTCGGTACTTGCGGGCAGCACTCGCGCACATTTAGTCCAATTTGGAGAGAAAAAACGATGCCAAATGTGTGAGCAGTGGCTTGCCCCTCTGTCAGCTTTTTGAGTTGTGCTTTTAACCAAATATCTCGAATCTCTTAAGCTTGGTTCCCTGAGGTTGTTGATGCAGTAAAGGTGGTATGGGTGTGGCTGCAGGTGCTGGAAGGGCGTGCGATGCGGGTGGACCAGGCCACCAAGCCATCGTTTGAGAGCTTCCCAGGCGGAGGACGCTACGGCTTCTCCCGCGGGCCCCCCAGAGGTACGAGTGTCCTGCCCATGCCCAGTTCGTGGTGTTCCGACCACTAACCGTGCACTAAGCAGTACTTTCTGTCGCACTCAAGTACAGGAATCGCTCCAAATCCATTTCCATGTTTCTGCAACTGAATCTAATGTGAACAAGAATGGTTAAAAAAAAGTTATTTCTCCGAACCAACTTTAATTACAGGATTTTCATTTCATGTTCACTCATGTTTGTGTACTGTTTTTGATTTCTTCTGTAATGCAGTTATTTATTATTGGATTTTTGTCCGCTTAATTTCTGCATTTTGATTCATGTTATTGCTTTTGTTATTTCAGTGACCCAGGTCACTCTTGCAAATGAGACTATCCCGGTTTCTCGAGTTGTGACCTAATTAAACAAAATATATTTAAAATCAACTTTCACGGTGCCCACCGCCCCTAACGCAATTGCGCTTGCCTCGTGCAGGTGGCTCCTCCAGAGGGCCCCCCATGAAGCGTGGACCCCTGGATCGGGGGGACGGGCCTCCTGCCAAACGGCCGATGACCATGGCTGGTGGACCTCCCCGTGGTGGCGGCCGCGGAGGCTTCAGAGGTAACACCCTGCTGCCTTCGTCCGTGCGCGTGTGTGAGCACGGCGGTGGCGATTTGTAATGGAAGTAAAGAGATGTTGGCACCGTGTGACGATGTGCTATGGCTGGTGACGAATGGGGGCAGTTTAATTCGCACCTCCCAATTAGCGCGCTTGGCTACGTCCGGCACGAAATAAGTTTTGCGTACATACGTAATCAGACGGGGCCACGACTCGTTTCAGGGCCAGGCCCACGCGACATGGATGGCTACGGTGGGCCTCCGCGCAGAGAGATGATGCCGCGGCGAGATGACTACGTGCCCAGGGATGAATACTACAGCAGCAAAGACAGGTGGGTGCACGCGTCCACACCACACTTGCAGGGGAGGAATCTTTCCTTGTGAAAATAAAAACCGAAGATCTTGCTGACCGCTTTTTAATGGCATATTGTGCATGTTGGAGGAATACCCTGAAGAAAGCTGCAGGCCAGAGGATAACTCAATGTTCATCATCGACAGCTTCACAAGCCCACATGCTTTACTGCCATCTCCTGGTTACCTTCGAGTCCAATGGGTTTGGAAGTGATCCAACGACCCTTGACATCACGTTTGTGAATTGAAGTAGGGTCGTGAATCGATTACAGGAATCGTTTATGAATCCTAAAGTTACACAATAAATAATGCAATCCAGTAAACTTTTCATAATGATTGAACCGTTTGGCACGCACGAACATTAGAACCATCCGGATCGTTAAAATTTTGTCAGTTGGTGGCGGCCATTATAAGTCGCCATCTTCTGCATAGATGCACTCAGGACTGGAATTTTATTGTAATCTTTATTCATTATGATGTGTGCGCTAAAATCGGCCATTCACAACACGAAAGCAAAGTAGAGATCACTCGTTGGCAGTTGCCGCTGCTTCCACCCGTGTCTAAGCGGGGTCCATGTGTGTGCGCAGCTACGCGCGCCGAGACTACGGGGGCTCGCGTGATGGGCGCGACTACCCCCCGCCCCCGCCCAAGGAGTACCGTCCGCCCCCAGGCCGCGACGACTACCACGGGCCCAGCTCGCGCGCGTACGGGTACGACCCCGGCTCCCTCCGCACTTCCCGCTCGCCAGGGCCTGCATCCAGGTTAAATTGAGAATTAAGGAGCCGCCTTATTGCGACTGCTGTGAAGTGCATATCACCGCTCGCATCGCTGATCGGTGCCATTGCACAACACAAACTACTCACCGGCATCATTGTGTACAGTACAAGATGCTGTGTGGGCCACAGTGTAGCAATGCACTTGCTGAATTGTTCTATGAAAGACTAGTCCACACTCACTTGTACCGTTATGCCGTGGTGTGGTGACATTGTGTGCTCTAGCCATCCCAGGGAGCGAGACATCTACGGCAGCGGTGGCCGAGACCACATGCGCGAATATCCTGGCGAGCGGCCAGGCGCTGGCTCCTACCGCGACGGCTATGCGGGTTACGGTAAGCCTTGTGCAGCGACGGCCGGGTTGCGTTTATGCTGACGTGTCGAACTGTTGAACGAAACCTGAAACTCTTGTGAAGATAATTGAAGACAATGTGAAATATTCGATACCTCGAAACTGTGGGTTGGGCCTTGCAAATTAATTTGAAGCTGACAAGTAAAAACTTGAAAATGAAATTACCCCAGCAAAACCCTGCAATTCATCTGGGTGAATTAAACAACAATGGAAAGACTTTCGGGCCTTGTGAGCTTAAAGGCAGCCATCCAAAACCACTGATTTGACCGACCAGGCAGTCTCACAAGCCCACGTATCAACAATTGAAACAAATGTTCAACGTGCAAAGTGCCGACGGGTTCATCATATCACTCAAAGAAAATAGTGCCACGAACGTCCAAGCTAATTGCCAGGTGTGAACATGCTGGTTTACATGCAATGGCTGTCCTAGTATATAAAGTGAATATTGAGTCTGTAAAAAAACATTCCAACACTTTACAGACATTGGGGTTGTAGTGAAAAAATGCAACAAACCAAAAATACCTCTGAATGAACGTACCTGTGTTGAAGTTTTCTTAACGTGTTGTGACCAAAAATGCCGATGAAACTTGCGAAGATGGAGATGTGGGGAGCAACCCTCTGCTTTTAGTCAAGAGAACATAAGTGGATGATTCTGGCAATTAAGAGTAATCTATGAGCTGTGTGCGATAAACACAGTTTTAATTGTGGAGAAAAAAAATTGAAAATGCTGCAGCAAAGAAAAATACGCACAATGGAAATGGAATTTGGAAACCACCTAATGAATGAAAGAGCCATGCTCGGCTATAATGAGATGACCTCTGAAAAAAATGTCAATGAAGCCAACCCGATTCACTTTATCCCAAGTATCTCCTTGTATACCTTACAATTTCCAGCAAACAACAAATTGGAAGAGTGATGACCGCCTGGGATCTGTGCTGATGTCAAGCTGAATTCTGAAGTGATGCTTTAATGTTTCGGTGAGCGGCGCGAGAGCAAGCGCCCGTGCAGTGCAAGTGAATCATTGCTGTGACCTGACGGTTGACCCCACAGGAAGCTCGCGGGGAGGCCCGCCTCCCTCTTACGGGGGCGGCAGTGGAGGGGGCGGCCGATACGACGATTACGGCCCTAGTTCGCGTGACCCCTATGCGCCCGGGAGCACCCGCGAATACCCGGGAGGGCGCGCCACCAGCGACGGATACGGCCTGGGTCGTAGCGGAGATAGGATGGGGCGCGCCGAGCGAGGACCCCCGCCCCCTCCCCCGCCCCCCCCCATGGAAAGAAGCTATGCCCCCCGCGACTCGTACGGAAGCTCTTCCCGCGGCCCCCCACGCGATTCGTTTGGCGGCGGTGGCGGCGTCCCGCCACCCAGAGATTCTTACGGCGCCTCATCCGCGTACCGTGGAGCGCCCCGCGACGCGTACGGTGGATCGGCCCGCGGCCCCCCGCCGCGCGACGTGTACGCGGGCGCGCCCCCCCGTGACATTTATTCCGGCTCCAGCCGAGGGCCCCCTCGCGTCTCCGAACACCGTGGGGAGGGCCGCAACCGATACTGATTACGATTTTAGCGAGGAGTTGGCGCTCGCTGTCAGGTGTCGTGTTAGTATCCCACCCGCTGGCGGCACTCGTGTGAACACCAACGTCTGAACGTTTTGGCAACCATCCGCTATTTGTGCCGTCCCTACTGATCCTACACTTTTCAGAGTTTGCAGAGCCCCCTCGATGTTTAGACTGCATTCTCCTCCGTTTGGTTTGTCCCTTTTAAATTTGTGTACTTACTGTTTTTGAAAAAAAGGAAAAAAATCCTATTTTGCAGCGTTTCCTCCTGTGAAACATTTGGCATATTAATAAGATAGAGTTGACTTTGGGAGATGTCAAATGGACATCTTTTATTCATATTGCTAATGACAGACTTTGTTATTTTGTTATTTTTTTAAGATTGGAGCAGGCACACTCCCAATCTAGACATTTGTGACGATCGTTGTTCGAAACTGCTTCATTGAGAATTTGTATTTTGTTGGTTTCTTTTTAAAGCTCAATAAATATGCATAAAGCTAAGCTGTGATTATCGTGAAAAGTGAATCATGACAGTCTGGAAGCGCCAAGTCCCTTTCACAACCCAACAATCTGAAATTGTGCTGAAAAATCCTTGAAATGGGCCCAGTCGGATGCTGCAGTCTGTACCATGGTACCGGGATATAAGCGCCCCACAACGGAGCTGGACCACCTGCAAAGTTAGCATGAAATACACAACGTGAAATTGACAGCTCCACCGAACGGCCAACATGATTCCTGAAGCAGCGGCACCAACACGCCAAGGTTGTAACAGCCGATTCAATGCCGGACAGTCTTGCAGGGTTTGCATTGGTTCACTGTGAAGGGAGTTCAGTCTTCTAAGCAGTTCCCTGGAGTGATTGTAACTCCAAAAATGAGGTGTGCAAACTAAACGCTGAAACCCGAAAATAGACTGCCTCGACATCTCAATTACCTGAATCTGATGATAACAGAAGAACCCGTGATTGATTGATTGATGTGTAACAGGATAGTCGATCATTACAAAGATGCTGAAGAGTCTAATTTGTGTTGCGGAAAATCAAACGTGTGAAATCTCTGCAGGGCAGCTTGTATTTTTTGGGCATCTGAATGAAAGGAATTTCAATAACGATGTAGTCGGGGCTCCTCGCGCACGGTGAAGATAACGTGACATGAAGCGTCGCGTGAACAGGGGGCTCGATGGGAAAGGGGACCGTGATCCTCGCAACTCGAAGCTCCTGACAACAACCGTTCACAAAACGCCTCCCTTATAAAGCACGTCGTTGACATAAGCAATTGCTGGCAAGAGAAAACCTGCACACCTTAACGGTTTTTTATACACTTACATTTTTCTTGAATGGCATGTAGGCAAGTCCTGCTCATCACAGCCGTACACTGACACCACTAAGCATGTTCAAGTTAATTTCTCAATTGTAATTTTCAAGACAAGATTCCCAAATTAAAATCTTAATCAAAACTAGGTATTTGGATGAATGTCACATTCTCGCAAACATTTTATTTAACGGCATTTGATTATTAATACAGTTCTCAATATTCAAAAAAAAGAAATGAAGTGTGAAAACGCTCATTACAAACACATTCTTGAGCGAATCAAAACCACCGAGTTGGAATTCTGAACATCCTTTGAAATGGGGAAACGACAACCTGGAAGGAGGCTCTAATTGCGCACCTTGTGATTTATACGAATGGAATTCATGAAAAAAACACAACTGAATGTTGAGCCTTTTCCACATTTTCCAAAGATATCGCCGCACGAAGATTTACTAGTGTGGTGCTTGGTGCAGCAGGCTGCAAGTTGGACACCTTTAAGACAAGCGGTCAGCATCTGAAAGCGCTGCCTGGCTTCACTGCAAACTTAGAGATCCTTGTGTTGAATAATATGAAATGGAACACAAAATGTGCTCTGCAGTGAAGCGGCGGTGAGTTCCCGTTAAATGAGAATTGAGATGTTGCTCACCTGTTGACAGCCCTGCAGAACTAGTGGTGGAAATTCCACGTTCCTATGACGGGGCATTCTATCCTTAGCGGACAACCACTCTTGTCTTCCCAATAAAGTAATACTGATTTGACCCTGGAGAGATTAAGGGCAAAGTCAATCTGCAACCAGGAACTCGCAAGCCTTCACATTGGGAGCCACCCACTCTTCATCAGAGCCACCTGGCTGCAATATGAATGCAAATCAAGAGTGCACTTAAGTCATGTCGAGTAAGAGCAAAATATCGCACGTGTGTGTGCGCAAGGGTTCCAAGGAAATGGTTGTCTCTTGTCAGTCTACTCGCATAGTTGCCCATAGGCACCTGATGCGTGCTGCAATGCGCACGTGCCAATGTGCTACGTACCAACGATATCGCTGATGGCTTGTAGGCCTGTCTAATTGACGAATGTGCCGGGAAACGGCACCCTCTGTCATCGTGATGGCAATTGGCTCCGGCAGGTGTATGATTGGTCCAAAAAGTCGAATCGATCCTGATGAGGGCTGCACATGAATAAGGTCCCTGTGCTGTATTATCGATACAGCCAAGCTCTTGCTGCTAGCACCTTTCTAATTAATCCAGTCTAAAACTAAAAATATTAAAATCAATAAATAATCACAAATCATACAACTGCATTGAAAACTAACCAACGAATAATAGCAATTCACACAACTTAAAAAAGCCTAACCAATAAATAATTCACACAACGACTATTGTCATACCAATTCACATCAATACATTCTCCTTGAACTACAGGTTGTAGTATGGGAAGGCTGGCTGCTTGGCCTTTTGTCGTGAGCATTTCATTTTGAGATGAGCTCCAAATGTCCATAATGCCCTTCTCTCACTCGGCACTAGTTGTCCCCCTCTCGCGCACACGGATTTCTACGCCAGCGCTGCATCAGTTGTGGAATCTTGACGGTCTTCCAAGTTCCAAAAGGGAAGAGGACACACTTTTTATTCCCAGGTTTGGAATGGTCTTGGGTTGGAGTCTACTCTATTTAATCCCAAAAATTAAATAATTTCCCAAAACTGAATTGTTGACGAAATCGGGATTAGATTCTTCTGGGATCAACTTCTCATGCAGAATTAAAAAAAAAACTCTTCACCCTATGCCATTTGTGCGGGGATGTATCTCAGTGGGAGTGCTGTAAACCCACAGTGCTTCTCAATCTCTTTAATTGACATGACACCTGGGACTTGGGCACACTTGTTGTGGCGCACTGCTGTGAGGCACAGTTGAAATTGGCGGCCCTCATTGCCGGCTCTCAATAAGTAATCTTCATGGGATGTCTCCAGGATGAAATAAAAGTAATTTCAATTATATGATGCATCACACATTTCTATTGCATATTTAACAATTGACTTGATTGTTAATTTTCCATTAAGCAGAACATTGGTAGCAACAGCACTACTTGCAGCTCTGCTTGCTTCTCATTTTAACACCCGATATTGTTGACCACTGTATTCTTACATAAGCTGCAGACGATAGGATAAAGAGTCCCTCAAAGAATGAGAATGGCTGCAACTAAAATATATTTTTTTACACCTTGTCACGAGAAGATGTTGAGCTGCCAAACACCTTGTGAGAACAACCATCAATGTTGACAATACAAACAACGCTTAGATCTACTGCCGTGTGTACATCGGCATCTCGGCTACAAACAACACGGCTGATCGACTCAACGCTCACAATACCTATGCTGTCGTCCGGAGTGAAACCTCGACCATCTTGAGGTATGCTAATAGTGGACCGTCTTCAATGTGGCGCCAGCGTCGATGTGGTGAAGTCGGGAAAGTGGCATTGATTTTCAGAGCAGAAGAGGCCCATGTTGAGCGTAGCCCCCCGCGTCTTACCTGGCCGCACAAGTCAACCTAACCGGCGCTTTGAAAAGCTGCAAACGCTGGACTCGACTGACACGACAAGAACGAACAAAGGTTGCGCGGACGTGGCTTGAGCCCTCTAAAGTAAGTGTCTGCGTGTCTGTTGCAAAGAACGACTAAGCAATAGATGGGTGGAATTTCATAGGTTGAGTGCCTAATATATGTCGCTTGCAAGTAGTGATGCTGTGGTACAGATTAGTGTGTTGCATATGAAGATGTGGAACAGAATGTGATACAAGTTAGAATTCTTCCAAAGAAACTACTCGTGGTCTGTGATTCAATCTTGTGTTTGTCTGAATGACTGATGTTGAATAATATTCTGAAGAAAGTTGACCAGATTTAATAGATTGTGCCCCTGACCACAGAAAATCAGAAGACTAGTTCTGAGTGTTCCATTCCTGAATGTCGGTGTCACCTGCATCTACGATAACCTTATACAGGAGAAATACATTACTGCTACCTTAAGTATCGCTAACTCAACTGGGATAAGTTAAGCTGAAGCACAGAAGGGAGCTGTGGAGCAGGCTTCATACAGTGCCACAGTAGGGAAGTCAAACGAATCAACTGAACCAGTACTAACTACTACCACGTTGTGGCACGTGGCGTAATTTGCTGGTAGCGTTTTGTTGCTCGAGAGGCTATCGGTCTCGCTGGGTGTAGGTTTGCTATCCTAAGCCACAAATTGTGGGTTGCCTTAAAGTTGATGGACAGTTTCTTCAAGTATTGGTTGTTCAGATTACAATTTTTTTAGGTGACAGGTGACATGGCTGCAACGAAGGCGATAATACAATGATGAAGAGATGAAACGTCTTGTTTGCAATGGAGACCTGGGTAAAGACGAGGGACGGCATAACAGAAATTCAAACGTCAGAACAAATGTGAACAATGGAAGTGCAAATTAACGTTCTAAAATGAGGTACAATGTAAAGATGTATCAAAAGGATTTGAATTAAGAAGACAATTTTAGAGGACAGTATGTTATGGATAAAATGAAACGTGCATTCAAAAGATAACTGAACTTTCAACATATCCAAGTAAGGAATACAAGAGCTTATCGAAGACTGGGCTGAAATAGATTTTAAAATGAACACACATGCATTTTGTTCCGTGTGTGTGAGGAGCGTCAAGCGTGAAATTGAATCTAGATTTTAGCATTCACTTTATATAGTGGAATACAAATGTTTGATCGTGTTTATAGTCGTGTGGGGTTGCTTGCGGTTTTTTTTAAATGGGTTAACTGGTTAATACATTCATTATGAATGTCTTTAAGGAAATGTTTGATAAATTCCAGCGTTTTTTGTTTTAGTTCATAATGGTGGACAGCATTTCTCAACAACAGCGCATAAGACTACATGGGGGAAACTGGGTCCAAACTCTATTGCTCAAGTAAAAATAAAATTGAAATAAAATAATAAATGTATTCTTTTATTCCTTTTATTATTTAAAATAAATAAAAATAGGACTAATAATAGAAATAAAATGATACATTTTATTTCTTATTTCTAATAATACATTTATTATTTTATTTCTATTATTATTTTTATCATTTATTTTTTACCTACGTGACTTTACCGAAAAAACCTAAGAGTATGATTCCGTTGCAGTCACGAAAGCTTCAAATCTAGAATCTATTGCTCAATTTGGATTATACGTTGTCAAGCATTGCTACCCGACTTGAAAACTCATGCCCAATTGCAGGCCAGGTGTCTTCAGTCACTTTTGTGCTGGACAGGAACCTGCTTGCCCATGGGGGGAGGTGCCCCTTTCAAATGTGCTGAGATGTAGCATGATTGCAAAGCGCTCTTGAGGAGCCCCAGCGTAAACGGCGCGACGTCGAAAAAACATCGGTATCGCATCTGGAGTTTGTGCTCAATTGTAAACCATATCGAGGGAATTGACATGAAGGTGATCGTAACATGTGGGCGTTTCGTAATAACAAAATCGTGGTTTGTCTATATGAAACGGCAGATTTTGTTTGTAAATGGAAACATCAAGCAGTGGATTGCCCGTGGCTGTAGATAAGTTAACCGTAACCTCAAACGATGTCAACAAGTAACTTGGTCAAACGGACAACATTGGCCAGATTTGGAGTGGCACACTATAGTAATTGGTTTGCCTTGCTTGTCTTTGACGTGCCGTGGAGTGTTAATTGGATGTTCTTTTGCAGGTTGAAATGCCGAAAATGATTCCTTTGAATTAAATGTAATTTGGGCAACACAATGGATGCTGACAAGCAGGGTTGGCCTCTACGCAGGTAATTTGGTGTCAAACTGCAGTGCATAGAGTTTGAAGCTCAACCTTTTGCCATTTTTGCCTGGTTAATGTTGCATATGCAACACTACATATGTATGTTTAATGTCTTTAGCACCGTACGTATCCAACCGTGCTAATCGGAGGTGCGGGGGCAGAACAAACTAAATCATACGCATCAAATGTGTAGCACTGTAGAATCTAGATTTTATAAATGTGTCACGTGTTGGAGGGATGTAGCATTGCATCAGTTCATCAATTTAAATACATTCTTAAACCCAAGATACCGTAGTATACTGTGCATGTAAACATTTATTTATTTTGATGTAAATACTGTGAATGAGCATTTGAATAAAATTGAGTTGCCAAATCTTTTAATGCATGCACTCACCAGGGAGAAGTTAATTGCCCCATGCCTAGTGTCTGGTAAGAATGAACATGTCATTCATTGGTCATGTGAGTGGTTGTGTTTTCTGCTGCAGGATGTTTGGAGAGTTGAAGGACCACAGCCCCGGGATCAACTGGTGGAATTTTCCTTTTCCGGAAGGACGCATGAACAGGGCGGAGTGGCAGACTCCTTCACAACTGTGCTCCTCGCAGAGAGTCAACTAGCGACTTTGCTCGAAAAGTTAAACGTTATACCCGTGTCCTCCATGAATCCACATTGATTGAGAACATGTCTTTGTGCAAATAAACGGTTGTAAATATCAAATGTTGTCGTTGTTGTCCTTGTACAATTGAACTTGCGAGACGTTTGGGCATGCTCAACGGACACGGGGTCACCTGCTGTCGTGTGTGGGAAATCTTCGTCACAGCCACGGATTGCCGAGGGGGTTGTAATTTCAGCTTGTCTCTGGAAGAGAGGTGCTACCCAGGGATGCAGTGGAGAGCCAAACTCAAGCCCTATAGACCAGATCCACACTAACGCTGGATCCCTATAGACCTGATCAGCACTAACTGCAGCCCTATAGATCAGAGGTAGCAAACGGCTTTTGATTCCTTAACCGTACTCGGCCGCATCAGGGTCGCAAATGGGTACCCGTACCCGGCCGTACCCTACCCGTACCCGGCTGGGTACGGGTATTGGGTACCTGATTGCGACCTCTGGGATAAAGCCATGTTGCAGGCACGGGTGGGTTGATTCTAGGAACTTGAATTGTGAGAAGAGACGTTGGGAAATGAGTGACAAACGGTTACTCACCAGTGACTCATGGTCTACCCGTACCCGGCCGCACCAAGGTCGCATATGGGTACCCGTACCCAGCCGGGTACGGGTATCGAGTACCCGGCTGCGACCTCTGCTATAGATCCGATCTGCACTCACGCTGGAGATTGCTTTAGAATCGACTCTTCTTGCGGCGCATGACCTGACCTGACGGTGTGAATGGCTGCTTGGTGATGGGGTAACTTGCTTGGTGACCACTATTGAGGTGTTAGGTGCCTGATAATTGGCTACTGTGTGATGCAGTCGCTATTTGCTGTGTGATTTATTGCATGATGAGTGGCTGGGTGATGGGGCAATGGTTACCATGTGATAAGTGTGACGGGTTGCTAGGGTAACAGTTGCAAGGTGTGGTAACTGGTTGCTATGTGATGGGTGACTGGTTACTACGTGATGGGTGACTGGTTGCTAAGTGATGGGTGACTGGTTGCTAGGTGATGAGTAACTGGTTGCTAGGTGATGGGTAACTCGTTGCTAGGTGATGGGTTGCTGATTACTACGTGATGGGTTGCTAGGTGATGGGTGACTAGTTACTATGTGATGGGTAACTGGTTGCTAGGTGATGGGTGACTGGTTGCTAGGTGATGAGTAACTGGTTGCTAAGTGATGGGTTGTTGGTTGCTAGGTGATGGGTTGCTGGTTGCTATGTGATGGGTTGCTGGTTGCTACGTGATAGGTTGCTGGTTGCTATGTGATGGGTGGCTGGTTACTATGTGATGGGTTGCTGGTTGCTATGTGATGGGTGGCTGGTTGCTAGGTGATGGGTGACTGGTTACTACGTGATTGGTTGCTAGGTGATGGGTGACTGGTTGCTAGGTGATGGGTGACTGGTTGCTAGGCGACAGGATAAGCGGCCATCACATGGCGCTGGAATGTGAATGTGGAGGACGCGAAATCGGAGCCGAGCGCGCGTGGGCGCCAGGAGGCGCCAGGAGGCGCGAATCTGTCGACAGCGAAACGGAATCAGACTGGCGTCCAGAGCTCGCGAACAACGGCGACTGCCGGGGAAGAGAGAGAGACGAGGTGAGGTGGGTGAGGGGAGGTGGGTGAGGGGAGACGAGGTGAGGTGAGGGGAGGTGGGTGAGGGGAGACGAGGGGAGGTGGGTGAGGGGAGGTGGGTGAGGGGAGACGAGGGGAGGTGGGTGAGGGGAGACGAGGTGAGGTGGGTGAGGGGAGGTGGGTGAGGGGAGACGAGGGGAGGTGGGTGAGGGGAGGTGGATGAGAGACGAGGTGAGGTGGGTGAGGGGAGGTGGGTGAGGAGAGACGAGGTGAGGTGGGTGAGGGGAGGTGGATGAGGAGAGACGAGGGGAGGTGGGTGAGGGGAGGTGGGTGAGGAGAGACGAGGTGAGGTGGGTGAGGGGAGGTGGGTGAGGAGAGACGAGGGGAGGTGGGTGAGGAGAGACGAGGTGAGGTGGGTGAGGGGAGGTGGGTGAGGAGAGACGAGGGGAGGTGGGTGAGGGGAGGTGGGTGAGGGGAGGTGGGTGAGGGGAGACGAGGGGAGGTGGGTGAGGGGAGGTGGGTGAGGGGAGGTGGGTGAGGGGAGACGAGGGGAGGTGGGTGAGGGGGTGGGTGAGGGGAGGTGGGTGAGGGGAGACGAGGGGAGGTGGGTGAGGGGAGACGAGGTGAGGTGGGTGGGGGAGGTGGGTGAGGGGAGACGAGGGGAGGTGGGTGAGGGGAGGTGGATGAGAGACGAGGTGAGGTGGGTGAGGGGAGGTGGATGAGGAGAGACGAGGGGAGGTGAGGTGAGGGGAGGTGGGTGAGGAAAGACGAGGTGAGGTGGGTGAGGGGAGACGAGGTGAGGTGAGGGGAGGTGGGTGAGGGGAGGTGGGTGAGGGGAGGGACGAGGGGAGGTGAGGGGAGGTGGGTGAGGGGAGGTGGGTGAGGGGAGGTGGGTGAGGGGAGACGAGGGGAGGTGGGTGAGGGGAGACGAGGGGAGGTGGGTGAGGGGAGGTGGGTGAGGGGAGACGAGGGGAGGTGGGTGAGGGGAGACGAGGGGAGGTGAGGGGAGGTGGGTGAGGGGAGGTGGGTGAGGGGAGGTGGGTGAGGCCAGGAGGGTGAGGCGAGGTGGGTGAGGGGAGGTGGGTGAGGGGAGGTGGGTGAGGGGAGACGAGGGGAGGTGAGGGGAGGTGGGTGAGGGGAGGTGGGTGAGGGGAGACGAGGGGAGGTGGGTGAGGGGAGGTGGGTGAGGGGAGGTGGGTGAGGGGAGGTGGGTGAGGGGAGACGAGGGGAGGTGGGTGAGGGGAGACGAGGGGAGGTGGGTGAGGGGAGGGGAGACGAGGGGAGGTGGGTGAGGGGAGGGGAGACGAGGGGAGGTGGGTGAGGGGAGGGGAGACGAGGGGAGGTGGGTGAGGGGAGGGGAGACGAGGGGAGGTGGGTGAGGGGAGGTGGGTGAGGGGAGGTGGGTGAGGGGAGACGAGGGGAGGTGGGTGAGGGGAGACGAGGGGAGGTGAGGGGAGGTGGGTGAGGGGAGGTGAGGTGAGGGGAGGTGGGTGAGGTGAGGGGAGACGAGGGGAGGTGGGTGAGGGGAGGTGGGTGAGGGGAGGGGAGACGAGGGGAGGTGGGTGAGGGGAGGTGGGTGAGGAGAGACGAGGGGAGGTGAGGGGAGGGGAGACGAGGGGAGGTGGGTGAGGGGAGGTGGGTGAGGGGAGACGAGGTGAGGGGAGGTGGGTGAGGGGAGACGAGGGGAGGTGGGTGAGGGGAGACGAGGGGAGGTGGGTGAGGGGAGGTGGGTGAGGAGAGACGAGGGGAGGTGGGTGAGGAGAGACGAGGGGAGGTGAGGGGAGGGGAGACGAGGGGAGGTGAGGTGAGGGGAGGTGGGTGAGGGGAGGTGGGTGAGGGGAGACGAGGGGAGGTGGGTGAGGGGAGACGAGGGGAGGTGGGTGAGGGGAGGTGGGTGAGGGGAGACGAGGGGAGGTGGGTGAGGGGAGGTGGGTGAGGGGAGACGAGGGGAGGTGGGTGAGGAGAGGTGGGTGAGGGGAGACGAGGGGAGGTGAGGAGAGACGAGGTGAGGGGAGGTGGGTGAGGAGAGACGAGGGGAGGTGGGTGAGGAGAGGAGAGACGAGGTGGGTGGGTGAGGAGAGGGGAGGTGGGTGAGGTGGGTGAGGAGAGACGAGGGGAGCAGTTACGAGGTGACGAGCAGAGAGATGAGGTGAGGACATTCGATAGGAAGAGACGAGGGTTGGTGGGAAGAGACGAGGGGAGGGAACAGGAGAGAGAAGAGGAAGGGGAGGAGATACGCGGTGACGAGGAGACGAAACGATGGGAGAGAACAGCGAAGAGGTGACGTGTAGAGAGGTGGGCAGGGGAAAGAAGAGGTGACAACGAGGTCGGGCATTGAGGAGGGGGAGAAGTGAGGAGGAGGAGGAGGGGAGAAGGTGACAAGAGGAACGGTGGCGAGTGTAGAAGAGGTGGCAGGTGGAGACGAGACGAGGTGTAGAGGGGAGACAACAGGGGGAGACGAGGTGGAGAGGGGACGAGGTGGAGAGGGGAGACAATAGAAATAACAAAACCGGGCCACGGAATCGCCTCTCGCCGGGTCCGGGTGAGCGACTTCATTCCCAACAACAACAACAACCCTCCCCCCCCTCTCTCTTCTCTCACCATCGTGCTGTCATCGCCATCACGACCCGAGCAAGATTACCACCACCACCACCATCATCACCATCATCATCACCATCATCATCACCATCATCATCACCACCATCATCATCACCACCATCATCATCATCATCACCATCATCATCACCATCATCATCATCACCATCATCATCACCATCATCATCACCACCATCATCATCACCACCATCATCATCATCACCATCATCATCACCATCATCATCACCACCATCATCATCACCACCATCATCATCATCACCATCATCATCACCATCATCATCACCATCATCATCACCACCATCATCATCACCACCATCATCATCATCATCACCATCATCACCATCATCACCATCACCACCACCATCATCATCACCATCATCACCATCATCACCATCACATCACCATCATCATCACCATCATCATCACCATCATCATCACCATCATCATCACCATCATCATCACCATCATCATCCCTCATCATCACACCATCATAATCATCATCACCACATCATCACCACACCATCATCTCATCATCATTCCCCCATCATCACCCACCACCATCATCACCACACACCACCACATCATCACCACATACACCTCATCATCACCACCATCATCACACCTCATCATCATCATCACCATCTCACCATCATCCCACCACCATCATCACCACCATCACCACCATCATCACCATCACCACATCATCATCATCATCACACCACCATCCTCATCATCACCCATCATCACCATCATCATCACCACCCATCATCACACCATCATCACCACCACATACCATAACACCATCATCATCATCACCACCATCACCACCACTCATCACCATCACAACCATCATCATCATCACCACCACCATCATCATCATCACCATCACCATCATCACCATCACCACCATCATCACCACCATCATCACCACATCACCACCACCTCATCACCACACCACCATCATCATCATCATCACCACCATCATCATCATCACCACCATCATCATCACCACCATCACCACCACCACCATCATCATCACCATCATCATCACCACCATCATCATCATCATCACCACCATCATCATCACCATCATCATCACCACCACCACCATCATCACCACCACCATCATCATCACCACCATCATCATCACCATCACCATCATCACCACCATCATCACCATCATCACCACCGTCACCACCATCACCACCGTCACCACCACCATCATCATCATCACCACCACCATCACCACCCTCTTCACTCTCGTCTGTGTCCCGTGTGGAAGTCGCTGCTTCATGCGGCACAGAGGCGGGCGTCGGTAGTAGATTCACTCCACGCACAGCGTTGGGGGGTTTTTAGTCTTTCTAGATTTGAAGCTTTCGTGGTTTGTTCGGTAAAGTCTTGTAGGTTAAAAGAAAACAAATTAAATCACGACGTTTCGGAGGCAACACAGAAGACTGGAGCTTGTGTTGCCTCCGAAACGTCGTGATTTAATAGTTTTTTTAGTCACTTCAAGATGTTTTATTGTTCATGTTTTTGTTTTTTGTTTGTTGCGGTTGCACGCGATTCAAGAGCCGAATGGCTCACAGGGCTCTCTACCTAATACATGAAACTGAAACTGAAAATCCCGCGTGTATCGGCGGCACCGCTCCCGTGTTGGTTCTATAGACTTTGCTGTAGATGCGATCGCAGGCAGACGGGAACGTGGCGGGTCTTGATCCTGGGCTTGAACAGGATGAAGGGGAGCCGACAGCACGGATGGCTTGGGGAAGGGAGCAGAGGAGAACGTGCGACCTCCCACTGAGCGAAGGGTGATCGGGGGAACGGGTGGAGAGTGCGTGGAGGGGAGTGAGGTGAGGGAGAGGGCTGGGAGAGTGCGTGGAGTAGAGTGAGGGGAGAGGGCTGGGAGGGTGCGTGGAGGGGAGTGAGGTGAGGGGAGAGGGCTGGGAGAGTGCGTGGAGGGGAGTGAGGGGAGAGGGCTGGGAGGGTGCGTGGAGGGGAGTGAGGGGAGAGGGCTGGGAGAATGCGTGGAGGGGAGTGAGGGGAGAGTGCTGGGAGGGTGCGTGGAGGGGAGTGAGGGGAGAGGGCTGGGAGGGTGCGTGGAGGGGAGTGAGGGGAGAGGGCTGGGAGGGTGCGTGGAGTAGAGTGAGGGGAGAGGGCCTGGGAGGGTGCGTGGAGTAGAGTGAGGGGAGAGGGCTGGGAGGGTGCGTGGAGGGGAGTGAGGGGAGAGGGCTGGGAGGGTGCGTGGAGGGGATGTGAGGGGAGAGGGCTGGGAGGGTGCGTGGAGGGGAGTGAGGGGAGAGGGCTGGGAGGGTGCGTGGAGGGGAGTGAGGGGAGAGGGCTGGGAGAGTGCGTGGAGGGGAGTGAGGGGGAGAGGGCTGGGAGGGTGCGTGGAGGGGAGTGAGGTGAGG